AGTCACAACAATCCGGGTCAAAAGCAGCTTCAGTTTAACTAAACCCAAAGTCAGAACCTCCCAGCGAGCACGTGGCGTCCTGCCCTGTCCTGCCCTTCCCAGCCTCGCTGCAGCCCGGCTCCCACCTGGCTCCAGCTGCCCGGACTCAGCATGCCTCTTCCGGGGAAGGCCTTCTGGGTTGGTTTACAAGGCACAAGAAAACCAGTAATTCCACTTCATTCATGGATTTTCTTGGTTGAATAGAGCCTTTTTACCAGGAGAACTGCCAGGAAGGCATACAGTAGCCAGTGCATCGCCCTAGGGAGGCCACCTCCCTCCCTGTAGGTGCCGCTGCAGCTGTTTTAGTACCATTTGAATGAGAAATTGCATAGACTAAGCCCCAAGTATAAAGAATATTTTTACACACATGGCATTCTTTTTTTTTTTTTACTTTGAATTTGATGGTACAATTATGTAGGGTCCGAAATCCCCCTCTAAGTTGCCACCCCACCACTGATTTCCCCATATTGTTACGATAGTATAGTTCTTAATGACAAGTTATAATCCCAGCAGGCTGTTGGTACATTGTATTTTTCATTTGTGCTAAAAAAGACGTTAGTTTCTTGGGAGCTCTAATATTTAATTTTTCTTCTTAAAAACATCATTATGGAAAATGTCCCAGGCACCTAGCAGCAGAAAGCACTGGGTCACACAGCTGGCCAGTGACAAGGCACCCTCCCAGCTTTGACCACCAACAATACCACTGAGTTCTGTTTCAACTAATCTCACTCCGCCCCAGTTCCCCAGGTCACCAATGATACTCGAAAAGCAAATCTCAAACACCATGTCATTGCCTTCGGTACACACTCCTCCTATGCCAATATACAGGGCACTAAAATTTCCCGATATCATCAATTATCCTGATAAACAGGATAAGTATCTAGGTCTAAAAGTTGGACATCAAGACCAGTACTCAAAGACCGAATGCTCCGCCAGGAACTCCTCTTTGTTGCTGAGGGATGCAGCACCTCTGGGGCCAGAGCAGCAGCAGTGAGGGTGGGTCCCAGTGCGAGGGTGTGAAATCCACATTTCTCTCCAAAAGCGCTCTCCAGCCAGATCCCAGCTCCTTGGAAGGAGGGATCCACTCTGAGCTATACCCATCCTGGCACTGATGCCCTCTTTCTGGGTTGTTTTTTTTTTTTTTTAAAGTCTGTTTTAGCAGGTGCAGGTTGCAGAGGATTACAATTCCAGCAGCTGGACGGGTTCTGTCCTCACCTTCCGATTCTGGTTCCAGGCCCTCCTCCCACGCCCCCAGGGAAGCCACCCTCCCAGCTATAGGTGGTTTCTGACTTCAATGGATCTTGCTTCACTCACTGCGGGGGCGTGGGAGGGGGGGTGGAGGGGGTGGGGAATCCAGGTGGAAATTCCTCTCTCCCATGAGAAAAGACCGGAAGTTGCCTTTCATTATCACAGTTCTACCCCATAACTGCACCTGAGATCCAGGTACTATGATTAGAACGTGGAACAGGCACAGATTAAAACATCAAGAAGCCTGTTTGCCCCGGTGATGACCATGGGGTGTTTTTAGTGCCACATCACCTGTCCTTGCCAGGGAGGATCAGTCGAGTTGGGAAATAAATCCACCTAAAATAACTTGGGGATCAAATGAACTCAACTCAGCATGTACTGGACCCAGCGTGGGTCACATCTGGAGAACTGGAGGCAAATCTGGCCTGGTTAATTCATAGAGGCCAAGGAGCCAGAGACAGAGGAAGGAGGAGCCCGCAGGAACCACCTCCATGGAAAACCAGAGAGAAGCAATGATAAGGCATGATAACACGGGGCAGGTAGGAGGCTGGGTGCCAGGAAATGGGAACGTTAGCCTCACACACCCCTCCACGCGGCACACAGGCTCCAGGCCTGCTCCTGGGGGTGGGGGAGGCTGGGAGAGAGCAGGAAGCAGGGAGCCTATCAGTTCTCGGAAGGACTCGGCGAGAATGGGAGGTTACTCCGGGAAGAGCACAGCAGAAACTAGGCGGTGAAAATTACTTGGACGGGCAGGGACCTCACCGGGCATGAGCTCAGCACCCGACCTGAAGCTCGGCCCCAGGGCACACGAGAGCCACCAACAGGATGGGGTGTGCTGTGCTTCTTCTCAGTGTCCCTTGAGCGAGTCATATGGGGAGGGGTGGCGAGGAGATGCTTCGAGAATCCACTGAGGGGGCTGGCGAGGGGGCCCAGGGACCGCTCCATTTGAGATCACGTGCCCAGTCAACGCACGTGGGAAGGCACCTGAGCGTGGCCCAGGCGCAGACCTGTACGCAGCCCCTTCGGCCTGGACCAGGCTTTGGTCTAGCCCACTCTCAGCCACTGGGGCCATTTTGGGTACAGACCAGCTAATGGAAGACTCTCTAATTGCTTTTCAAAGAAATAAATTTTGAAGAAAAAAAACCAGACAAATAGATCAGAGGATCCGCGTAGCAAAGGAGGGGAGACATGTTGACAAATAGTTGACATCTCAGAAACTGTCAGAGACGCAAAGATCAAAATCTCCTACTAGTGTCAGCATGCTCCCATTTCTGTGAAAACAAAATGGTGGGAATGTATGTGTATACTATTTACATAAACTACCTTGGGAATCTATGGGAAGAAAAACCAAGCATAATTCCGTGGGCGGTGGAGCACAGAGAAGGGCCTGGGCAAAGCGCGAGGAGCCTTCAGCTCCAATGGCTGATCCTGAGGACACAGCACCCACCACCCAGCTAAAGATCGTTCCCCCTTCCTGCCAGGCACACAGCACAGGAAGACAGTGAGAAGGAAAGACCAGCCAAAGCAGGTTCCAGTTCTGTGCCCACACTTCGCTGCTGGGGACAAATGTTTCTGTCATTTGCAGAAATGAAAATAACATTGGCCAATTCCCGGGTTGAGGCAACAATCATTGAATGAGTTCCATGCAGAGCATCTGGCAGGATATTTGGCACAGGCTGAACGGGGCGGTGATTTTTATCATCAATGAAACTTCTAATACGTTCATCGATCTCATGGGTCCACGCAAACCACTGGTGGAACCCATCTGAGGAACGCTCCACCTGAGTGTGAGACGCGACTTACCTGCGTTTCTGGGAGATGCTAGTCTTGTCTAAGCATTACCAAATCCACGTTTACTGAAGGCATGGATTCAGACGCATTCCATCCCAGCCAGGGGTCAGAACTAAAAACCCACACTGGCTCCCTAGCAGCCCCCAAGCCCCTCCCCAAAGTCCTGACAACTTGAGTGACGCGAACACGCGCGGCCTTCAAGACACCAGAGCCCCGACTTTGACCTGTGAGATGGGATTCCTGGCAAGAAGTCCCCAATTCTGCCAGATGCCCCTGAGGACTCCATGCCAAGTCAGCACTTCAGGAGGGCGCTGTTGTGGACATTAAGTTCCGAACCCACTTGCACCGGTGCTGGCAGCAGCATTGCAAGGGTTACCAAACACTGGTCTGGCTCACAGGCCTCCCTACTTGTTAGAACAGCCACCTCATTATCCAAACCATCATCAACACAGGTTTCTTTGTTATACACCGAGATGCATAATTTCCTACCATCTCGGGGTCGGGGGAGCCCTTGGGTCGCCCCCCTCCGGCTCTGTCCCCCACCCTTCACCCCTAGCCTCAAAAGCTTACAAAGCCTTGGTGGGGGGAGGGGAGAAGACTGGGGCTTAGCTTTGGGAGGGGGCAGGAAGTAAGAAATGAACATCTCTCCCATTTTTTTTTTTGTAAGAAGGTTTCAAAGCGAAAACCCGAGAAAGCTTTGGACAGCCAGGTCGCGCACAGCTCGGCGGGGCAGTGAGCTCGCCCCAGGGGCGCCTGAGCCCATCCTGAGCTCTCCTGATGGACACCTTGCTCGCGCGGCTGCTGGATCCGCGAGCTGCAGCCGTTCATTTCCAAGGCGGACGAGGGACGAGCCCGGCCTGGGAGCTACACACGCGCGCGCGCGCGGCAGGGCACGGATGCTCGGGTCCCCCGGGGTCTCCCCGAGGTCGGATTATTTATTAGCAGCAGGCTTAATCCGAGCCTATAAATAGGCAGCGGCGCGCCGACCTCGCCGTCCCCCTTCCCCGGCCCCTCGGCCTCCGGGCCCCGCAGCCGCCGGCGATGCTCCCGGGGCCGGCCACGCGGGCGCCCGCACAGGCCCGGGCAGGCGCTGACAGGCGGCGGCTCCTCAGCTCGGCCTCCGGGGGGACCCCACACCTCCACGGGGCTCAGCCACGCGCGGGACCACGTGCGCCCGCCACCGCCGGCCGCGCAGCCCGCCTCCCCGCCCGGGGCTCCGGCGCCCGCCGTGCCGCACGCGGCGGCTCCCGGGGCAGGAAGTGCGGCCTCGGCCCCGGCACGCGCTGCCTCCCCGCAGCCCCGAGGAGGACGACCCCGTCCCGGGCCGCAGCGACCGACCCCTTCCAGTCCCCGGACGCGGAGCTGCTGCTCACCTGTCCGAGGAGGTAGCGGCGACGCGCGAGGCCGGGAGGCTCCTGGCGGCGGCGGGGTCGGCGGAGGAGACGACGGCGTCGGCGGCGCAAGCGGCAGACAATGGAGGAATGAAGGACGGACACATTGACATAGACACACGGAACCCGGCGCGGCTCCGCCTCCCGCCACGCCCCGCCCCTCAGCCAGGACCGCGCCACTCCGGAGCGGGGGGAATCTCGACAGCCGGGAGGCAGAGAAGACGGCATCTGCACGCGTACAAAAGCCAGCAAAGCACACAGAACCTTCCAGAAGCATAAGTCTAATCGTGACGAAGTCTGAAAATGTCGGGAAAAGGCAGAAAGGGGTTGGGAACCTGCGAGAAGCATTTCCTGTTTTCCCCCTCAAGTTTTCTTCCATGTGGGTGATCCCGCCCCGGCTGCTCCAATGGGAGCCCGTCGCTACAGGCTCCTGGCGCTCCTCCCCTCGAGCCGGGCCAATGAGACGCGGGGGGCGGTGCTTGGCTCGGGGCTCGCCGGGGCTCGCCGGCCCGCCCGCCCTGAGATCCGGGAGGGAGCCGCGTCAGTGGCGGTGGTCTGCAGGAGCTGGGCCTGCGGCGACACCACCTCCAAGCTGGCGGCCGCGATGGTGCACGTGCAGAAAGGCGAGCTGACTCCGGAGGAGAAGGAGCTGCTAGAAGCCATTGGGAAAGGTGTGGGTGCGGGGCTGCGTGGGGGTGCGGGCAGCCTCGGGTGCAGGCCCGGGGCCATCGCGGCCTGCTGGGTGTCCTCAGGCGGCTTCCGGAGGCCGTGGAGCTGGTTGGAGGAGGGAAGCCCTGGCGTAGGAGGGGTGGGGTGGACGAGGGTCGGAGACTCGGGTTGCAGCTGACCTCGGCCAGCGCGGCCTCCGCGGCTTCCGGCGCGCGGGGCTGGAGCGGAGGCGCCGCTGCCTTCCCTCCCACCACCCCAGCTCACCTGCCACCTTGGCAGGTGCCGTGGGCGTGGCTGCTGCCCTCCTGGGCCTGCAGGAGAGGCGGTGCGTGAGGCCCGGGCCTGGCAGTTTCTCTGGGCTGGAGCCTGCAAGAATACACGGAGGCCGACTGGGTCCCCCCTGCTCGGGGTCAGGGACGTTCGGCTTGGACCAGCTGAGGCAGTCCCAGCCCCTGGTGATGCCCCAGCGCTCCTTGGCCTGCACTGGCTGGAGCTGTGGGCCGGGGGTCTGTACTGTTTGCATGGTCCTCGCTGACCTCTTGGGCACGCCAGTCTTGTTGGGCACTTCCCTCGATCCCTGCTTTCTTTGGTGGCTCCAGGGGCTCGGTTCAGCACGCCAGGACCTGCTGGACAGGAACAAGGGGGTAGAGGACTAATCTCCGTTCACCTGTCTCCCCTCCTGCCCCCCAGGAACGCGAGTTCTGATTCCTGATTGGCAACAGGCCAGAGCCTGGGTCATCAGCTGCTGCTCTCTTTGCAGTCACTGACCTAGCCGGCCGGTGAGCGGCCTCGGGCGGCCTCGGGTGGGTGTGTGGCACGTTTGCTCTAAAGCGGCTGTGAAGCAGGATCCACGTCCCTCTGCTCCAGCCGTGCTTGTTAAGTCGGGGGACAAGCAGCGTTTTTATCCCGGGGCTGTGGGGGTGCATGGGGGCATCTGCGGGGTGTGTGGTCCCTGTCCTGGACACATACTACTGAGGAAAGAAGGGAGGTGCAGGTGACGTCAGGGAAAGTGTGGGATGCCAGGCGACTGCCAAAGTGTTGAGAGAGAGGCGCGGAAACAGCCACGCGGAGCAACACTTAACCTTCTTATGAACCGTGTGGATGCCTGTAGTCTAGACTAGGGTTCATCCACCCGCCCCCCCCCCCCAGGGGGGGTATTTATTTATTTTAAGGCCAGAACTACAGAGAGATGGGGTGGGGGGACGGAGTCTTCCACCTGCTGGTTTACTCCTCACCTAGTGGCGGGCCCAGGCTGAAATCAGGAGCCGGGAACTTCTTCCAAGTCTCCCATGAGGGTGCAGGGGGTCCAAACACTTGGCCATTTCCTGTTGTTTTTCCCCAGCACAGCAACAGGAAGCAGGATGGCAAATGGAATAGCTAAGACTAGACCCGCATGCAGAATGCCAAATGCTAGCGTTGCAGGCAGAGGTTCTACCGGCTTTTTTTAAGTATTCTTTTTAAGCTGTACTGTGCTGAGACTGCATGGAGGAGGGTTAGCTCTTCAGGTCCTGTTTGGGCCCCTACCTGAAGGGCCCATCTCTTGATGACGTGGCCGTGGCCAATCTGTTTCTGCCGAGTTCTCCACGGGAAAACTGGGAACATGGTGAATGAGGCTGAAGGGAATGCAGGTAAAGCATTTCAACATCGTGGGAGCTGTGGTCATAACTAAGGGACTGTCCACTCTCCAGATTAGCAAACCAAGGGAAATTGGGCAACTTGCCAGGCAGAGAATTGGCAGGGCAAAGGTGTCGGTGGTGCCTGGGCCGAGAAAAATGAACCCGGTGCCAGAGCAGCTCATCAGCGTCCACTCAAGAGATAGCTTAGTTTCGGCAAAATATTATCTGCCCGGTTCATCTTTATTATTATTATTATTATTTTTAAGTCTAGCTCTCTTTAAGTATATTGTTTTTTTAAGAGCTCTTTGTTCCACTGGCTCACTCCCCAAATGCACAAAACATCCCAGATGGGGCCCGGCTGAACTCTGCCTGGGTCTCCCTTGTGGATGACAGAGACCCAAGAGCCACTGCCTGCTGCTGTCCAGGGTGCACCTGAGCAGGAAGCCGGAGTCAGCTGCCCTGCCAGCAGTCTAGTACCAGACCCAGACATGGCTGGTGGCGCCTTAACCACTGCACTGAATGCCAGCCCCAAAGCTCGACGCATTCTGGATGTTACTGATCTCGTGGCTTTAAGAGCTTTCAACTTACACAGTGAATTTTGTTTTGTTCTATGGCTAAATGAAGGTCAGGGGCAAAGTAGTAAAGTTTTATGTCTGTGCCCATGTGAAACATTATTATGCTTTATTTTGTTTTTACTGGGCAGATAATAATCTTATTTTTTTCCCCTCGTTTGATACATTTTCCAGCTTTGAGCACCAACAGAGTGCACAGTTTTTGTACTTTGAACTCTCCATGAATTTTGTCACGCTGGCTGATCCGAAATAAACTTGAACAATGTCCTGGGGCCTCCTGTTTGCTGGGAAGGAGGACTGACAGTGTAAGGATAACCCCACATTGCCTTTGGACACTTTGAGATTGGTTTTATTTTGTGGATAAGACTTTCCATGAAAGGGGTCTCCAGATTGTGTATTTGTCAGAGCTCTGAGAGGTTTCAGAAGGAAATGAGAAGTTGCTTCCAGCATGCCCAGGTGTAATATAGTGAATAGCCACGTTCACACACAACATTGAAGAGGTGAGGATTGAGGGACTGGCACAGTGGTATAGTGTGTTAATCCTCCACCTGCAGCGCTGGCATCCTGTATGATCGCTGGTTCTTATCCTGGCTGCTCTGCTTCCAAGCCAGCCTCCTGCTAATGTCATGGGAAAATAGCAGAGGCTAGTTCAAGTTCTCATGGCTCCTGCAACCACCTGGGAAACCCTAAAGAAGCTCGTGGCTTCTGTCTTCTGACCAACCCAGCTCTGGCCTAGAGGCCATTTAGGGAATAAACCAGCAGATGGAAGAGCGCTCTCTTTCTCTCTCTGACTTTCAAGTAAAATAAATAAATCTAAGGAATTTAAAAACAATAAAAACTGTAACTGACTTGTGTTCCTGATATAGACTGACCATTCCTGTAAACTTTGATCTTCTGCATTAAACACAAGAAGAAAAATTTCAAAATACATTGTACCTAGTTTCAGAGCATTAACCGAGCCAGGCACAGCAGGCTAGAGGTTGAAGTCCTCGCCTTGAATGCGCCAGGATCCCATACGAGCACCGGTTTGTATCCTGGAGGTCCCGCTTCTAATCCAGCTCCCTGCTTATGGATGACCCAAAGCCTTGGGACCCTGCACCCACATGGGAGATGCAGAAGAAGCTGCTGGCTCCTGGCTTCAGTTTGGCTCAGCTCTAGCTGTTGGGACCACTTGGGGAGTGAACATCGGATGTAAGATCTTCCTCTGTCTCTTCTCATCTCTATAAATCTGCCTTTCCAATGAAAGTAAATAAATCTTAAAAGAAAAAAGCGTTAACCATATGTTTCTGTTATTGATCTCACTGCCTGAAGTTAAGTCTAAACAAGAAAATAAATGCTTGCTAAGGATATTTGCATAGAACGCACAGTGAAACATTTGGACAATTTTATACTAATGTTAGTGAAGCATCATTGTAGGAGCATAAGTGCATATTTAAAGTGTACAGTTTTTATCAGCGTTGGCTTAGGTGTGCATAACTACAACGGAAGTCGTGAATAGCTCTGTCACACCTGGAAGATTCCTCAGGCCTCTGGTGCGTCTCAGCTGTCCTTCCTCAGCCTCCCCTCCAGTAGATCTTTGAGAGCTGGCCAATTTTATTGAAAGAGTTACCCATTTTTATTGGAAAGGCAGCTTAGATTTACAGAGAGAAGGAGGTACAGAGCAAAAGATCCCCCATCTGCTGGTTCATTCCCCAAGTGGCCACAGTGGCCAAAACTGAGCTGATCTGAAGCCAGGAGCTTCTTCTGAATCTCCCACATGATACAGGGTCCCCAGGCTTTGGGCCATCCTCTCCTGTCTTCCCAGGCCATAGGCAAGGAGCTGGATGGGAAGTGAAGCAGCTGAGACATAAACTGGCATCCGTATGGGATCCTGGCACATGCAAGACAAGGATTGGCCACTGAGCCATCGCACTGGCCCAGTCCTGCCCATTTTGCCCAGTGTTGAAGCCCATTTGGTTACAGAAGCTAACAATAGATAGCAATGAGTGGGGGGACTTCAGGATCTTCTCATGTGTAAATACACTATTTCAAATTATTGGCCAGACTGGGGAGTGTTGATTTTAATTTTATAATACCTTTATAGCTTTATGGTGATATCCAAATGTATGTCCCATATATCAATCTCTTGACGTTAAGGCATTGAAAATACTTTTTCATTTGTTAAGATTTTATTTACTCATTGGAAAAGCAGATTAACAGAGAGAAGGAGACACAAAGATTTTCCATGCGCTGGTTCACCCCAGGTAGCCACAGTGGCTACAGCTGAGCCGATCCAGTGCCAGGAGCTTCTTCCAGGCCTCCCACATGAGTGTAGCTCCTAAGGCTCAATGCTATCCTCTACTGCTTTCGCAATCCGTAAGCAGAGAGCTGCGTTGGGAGTAGAGCAGCCTGGACACAAAGCATGCTGATATGGGATGCAGGCACTGGCAGGTGGAGATGAGCCTGTTGAGCCACAGTGCTGACCCCAGGGCGCTTAGGGCTTTTATTTCAACGTACTTGTCAATAACAAATAACGAGGTAAATTGTGGATTTTTTTGTTTCTTATTCCTCACCCTGGGTGTCAGTCCTTTAAAACATCTGTTTTTTTGGAAGTCCCACTGAACCGTGGTGGAAATCTGTGTTGTATTGGAATCTCGTGGTTATCAGATGGGTTGCTGGAGAAAGCACTGTGCCGGGCAGGGCCCCCCTGTCCTCTTCGCTGGGAGCGTGTCTGCTTATCCTCAGCGGTGACCGACTGTCCCAGGCGAGAGTTGGCAGCTGTGACAGGGGATTAGCTCACGCTGTGGTGGATATTGACCCAAAAGGGCAAGATACTGAGACACACTGCAGGCTCACGATGTCCCCTGGTGAGAACAAGTCCCCAGCCTCCTCCGAGCCCTGCAGCATGCATGCCACTGCCTTGTTCTCTACACGAGGCAATGAGAATTTTGCAGCTCTTGGTCTCCTCTGTGGTTAGAACCAAGGGGCAGCAGCAGCACTCCCAAACATGTCAACCTGTTCTGTAACCTAGGGAGACAGGCTATTTTTTGTTTTCTTTTGGGTTGACCTGTCTAACAGAATTCTCGAAGAGAATTCTTTGCTACTAAGACTGATTCATTTAGGTGCCTCCAGTGAAGATAGGTGCTGGCCAATTATACATGCCTCCTTGTAGCACCGTTTCTAACCTCACACTAGTTGGTTCATTCTTAGAGCTTTCCTAGATTGAGGAAGTTAATATCTTATATTTCATTGCTAAATAATGCTTGAGAGCTAACACAGGACCGTAAAGAATCACCAAAATTAGGATTTCTTTTGTGGGAGCCATGTGTCTTTCCATGTGTGTACCCTTCCGGATCCTTCTGGCACATTAAGAACACCGAATCGGAAGCCATCACAGATGTTTTCTCGAAGTCTGTGTGTGTTCTCTAGACACCCACACTGTTTGGGGTCATTTTCTCGTGCCCACCCGTCCCCTGCTGAGTGCCGTGTGCTCCCCAGGGTCCATGTCCTAGGTTCTTTGCTTTCCACCCTGTGCCCTCCTGCAGTGCCCCTGCAGCTCCCGTCATCTCCTCCCTGAGCGGTAGGGCTGCCTTGCTCTCAGCCTAGTCCTTTGACCCAGCGCCGCTGATCCCTGAAACATGCTAGGAGTTCAGGGTGCTCTGATCACCACACAGTCCAAGCCAGGACTAGAAGCTTGGAGAACTTTCTGCTCGCCATCCTTTAGAAGAGGTAAAGGCTAAAGGCTGGTCCTGTGCGATGCAGCCTCCCCAGGGCATCCCTGAGCTGCTGGCTTTGCGGGAAGCCTGGAAGCTCTCTGGCCCTTCCTATAGACCTTGCACAATGTGGCTCTTCTCTCTGTCCAAGTGCATCCTTTGTTACATCCTTTAGAATTGACAGGTATTCAGGGCCGGTGCAGTGGCTTAGCCGACCTACGCCACTGGCGTCCCGTATGAGCTCCAGTTTGTGTCCGAGGTTCACCACTGCTCCAGCTCCCTGCTTATGACCTGGGAAAGCAGCGAAGGAAGACCCAAAGCTCCCTGCACCCTTGTGGGAGACTCAGAAAAGGCTCCTGGCTTCTGGCTTCCGGTTGGCTTTGGCAGTTGTGGCTATTTAGGGAATGAACCGGTGGATGGAAGATCTTTGTCTTTCCTTTCTAAAAGTCTTTTAAAAAGTTAATAGGTGTTCTTCAGTGAGCTATCCTAGCAGATGCTCAGACGCAAGCCAGGGCTCATGGAAACCCTGCCTTATGACTGTGTGTTCAGAATAAAGGCCACACCTGAGATCTGGGGCTGGCTTCTGGAGTTCAAGGGCAGCCTGACTAGCACTGAGCCGTGGATGCAGTGCTGCGGTCCTTTGGATGTTGGGGGGCGGGTGGGGAGGAGGCCCTGCATATCAAGTGTCAGAGAGTAAATCCCTGGGGCCACCACAGGGGTTAAGCCTCTGTGTGAGATGCCAACACTATATGGGGGGGGGGGTGTCTGTTCGAATCCTGGTTGCTGGTCCAGCTGCTTGCTAATGCCCCCGAGAAAGCAACCCAGGATGGCCAAGGTGCGAGAGATTCCAGAGACGCCCCGGACTCCTGGCTGAGGCCTGGCTCAGCCCCAGCCGTTGCAGCCGCTTGAGGGGATGAATCAGATGATGGGAGATCTTACTTTCTGTAACTTTGCCTTCCAAATAAAACAAATCTTTAAAAAAAAGAGTGAAGCTTTGAGTCTGCCAGGTGGACGTGTTGCAGATAAGTCTTTTTGTGTGTTCCCCCCCCCCCGCCTGCACTGCAGCACAATGCATGAATAATTTTTTTTTTAGTTAATTGTGCCCTGATGGATGTACGGCTGGTGAGTTATCCATCAACCTGTTTTGTCATGAAAGCCGCGTTTAAGACTGAGCATGGGGCCCAGCGCCGTGGCCTAGCAGCTGAAGTCCTCGCGTTGAACACACCAGGATCCCATGTGGGCACCAGTTCTAATCCCCGCAGCCCTGCTTCTCCTCCAGCGTTCCCTGCTTGTGGCCTGGGAAAGCAGGCAAAGATGGCCCAAAGCCTTAGGACCCTGCACCCATATGGGAGACCTGGAGGAAGTTCCTGGCTCCTGGCTTTGGATCGGCGCAGCTCCGGCCATTGCGGTCACTTGGGGAGTGAATCATTGGACGGAAGATCCTCCTCTTCTCTGTATATGTGACTTTGCAATAAAAATAAATAAATCTTAAAGAAAAAATAGACTGAGCCCGTAGCATGCTCGCTCTCCCCACAGTCCCCGCAGTGCTGGCTCGTTGTGGAAAGCTGCCCTGGCCATAGAGAAAAGGACCCTTAGTTCCTTGCAGAGTCGGGAATCCCCCTGCTAACCCGGCTTCTGCCAAGAGAAGTTGAGGTGCAGTTGCTTTCTGTCTGAATTCCTCCCTCCCCACAGTGCAAGGAACCCCACAGTGTAAGGAACCTCCCCACAGTGTAAGGAACCGGCTCATGAGATCCTGGGAGCTCCCCCAGCAGATTCCCCTTTGCTCTCGCTGCCGGGGCAGCCAGCAGTGCGATGGAGTGCATGGTTAGAACGCCGCGCCCTGCACAAAAATAGCCGCCACCATCCTCCAGGGACGTGTAACTCATGGACTTGACGTTTTCCCAACAGAGCTATTTCTCTGTCCAGGGCACGGTCCCCTGCGTCTCCCACTTGGGGTGAGGGGCACCCCGGGAACTTGGCTAGGAAGCAGATCAGGGACAGATGCATGCCAAGTACATTCCACACTCCACCGCGAACTTCAGGACCGTGGCTGAAGTGAACACACCCTTGCTCCATAATTGTAAATTTCAAGTGGAGGAGAAAGCCTCCTGTTTCTTTTCCTTTTTCTCTTTCTCTTTTTAAAAGTTTCACTGGAGAGCTTTAAGCATCCTCTCTCCCTCAGAAAATGCAGTGGCTATTTTCCTAGTCCAAGTAGACATCTTTGGCAGGACACGCAGCTGCCTGTATGTGCATGATGCTAATGGCACCATTCTCTTCCTGTCACCACCGTGGAAGACCGGAAAAACCTGACCAACCACACCAACAGGCCTGGTGGCAGCTCCTTTCCGAAGCGAGTTCACACTGCGTGACCGTCATGGTGGTTGTCTGAATTCTGGCCAGAGGAGACCTTGTACACAACACCAGTCTTAAAGATTTATTTACTTTTTTTGGAAAGTCACATATACAGAGAGGAGAAGAGATAGACAGATCTTCCGTCCGCTATTCACTCCCCATGTGGCCACAATGCCCGGAGCTCAGCCGATCCAAAGTCAGGAGCCAGGAGCTGCTTCCAGGTCTCCCTCATGAGTACAGGGTCCCAAGGCTTTGGGCCGTCCTCACCTGCTTTCCCAGGCCACAAGCAGGAAGCTGGATAGGAAGCGGGGCTACTGGGATTAGAACCGGCACCCATATAGGATCCTGGTTCATGCAGAGTGAGGACTTAGCCACTAAGCTACTGTACTGGGCCCACAACAGCAATCTAGAAAGATGACTGTCACCTGGGTTGCCAAATCAAGAGCTTTGTTGTAAACACGTCAGCTCCCAAGACTTAGAGCTTATGAATGGCACCATGCTGAGCACGGTTACCAGGGCTAGCACTGCTTTGGGATTTTAACTCACAGTGGTGATCGGGACTGGATGCCCTTTCAGATTTGCTCCGGCATAAAGTTTTTATGCTTTTGTGTCTGTTATATGACTGCCCCCAAATGAAATGTGGCCAAGTTAATATACTTGGAGGTCAGCGAAAGGAGGAGCAAGATGGAATATATTTTAGTTTCCATGAATTTGTTCCTCGGGAAAATTATTTTCTCAAATAACTATTATAGGGCTGGGTGCTTGATGATTCTGTATTTGAGGGGCAGAGAGACACAGAAAGAGGAAGCATTTGGTCCCCTGCCAAAGTGCCCACAACAGCCCCATAGCCAGGAGCCCAGAAACTCAATACACGTCTGAGGGCGGCAGGGACCCAGGTAGGTGAAGCACCGACTACTGCGTCCCAGGTTCCCCATGAACAGGCAGCAGAGCCGGGAGCTGAAGCCGGCACTGCAGGCGGGGTCACGAGCGTCTGCACCAGCCGAGCACGTGGCTGCTGCCCGGAGCTTTTAGTTAGCAATCTCAGCAGACTAGATTTCTAGATAACCTGTTCAGGCTTGTTCCAGGATGGTAGCGTTTGTTTCTTGGCTTGTTTTTGTATTTTATCGTTGAATTAGCTCTCCTCCCTCTCTCTCTTTTGCAGGTACTGTTCAGGAAGCCGGGGCACTGTTATCCAGCAAGAATGTCCGTGTCAACTGCTTGGATGAGGTAAAATAAAAACAAATGTTAAAGTGTTTTTTCTTACCCATGGTTATGGGTACGACATAAAAATTGTTAAAAGAAATTGCTTTCTAGTATTTGTTTTCAAGTTATACTAAAAATCTCTAAACAGATAGGAGTAGATAGGCCACAAAAGACAAGCATGGATAACACCATGTTTGCTAGTAATAAGTTAAGTGAAAATCACTTGTTTTTTTTGAAAGATTTATTTTTTATTGGAAAGTCAGATACGCAGAGAAGAGGGAAAAAGAGAGACGAAGATCTTCCGACTGATTCACTCCCCTACAGCCAAAACGGCCAGAGCTCAGCCAATCTGAAGCCAGGATCCCGGAGCCTCTTCCGGGTCTCCCAGGCAGGTGCAAGATCCCAGGCTTTGGGCTGTCCTCCACTGCTTTCCCAGGCCACGAACAGGGAGCTGGATGGGAAGTGGGGCTGCGTGTCGCTGGCACATGCAAGGCGAGGACTTCAGCTGCTAGGCTACCGTGCTGGGCCCTGAAAATCGCATCTTTTGTGAAATGTGAGAAATATGGACTTTCGTATGCTGATGCTTAAAGCATGCATTGGCAGAGTGTTCTTTAGAACACTTCGGGATGTGTACCTCCTGTGACCCAGCAGTCATATTTCTAGGATAAATTCAGTTTTCCCAGATTAGGGATGAGTGGTTTTTTGCAGCAGCAGTTTCCGTTACTGGTTGGGACACCTGCAGCCCACATTGGAGGGCCAGGATGGAGTCCCAGCTTCACTTCTGATCCAGCAAATAATCGAACTCAAGTGCTTGTATGCCAGCCAGCTGGCCCCTCACCCCCGCCACACCCCATGGGAAACCCAGATGGAGTCCTGGGCTCCTGCTTTGGGCTGACCCAGTCCTGCTGTGGGCGTGTGGGGAGTGATGTCCTCTCTCTCTTTCTCTCTCTGCCTTTCAAATAAAATGAAAGTAAATTTAATTTAAAAAAAAAAACTTTCTAGAACAGATATTACTCAAAGTAACTTTTGGAAGTGATGTGTCACCAATGAATTTTGTGTCACTATAATGAAATACCTGGGACAACATATCCATGAAAGATTGGGCCCAAACTTAGGTTCTTAGAGGAACTCTGCTAAGAAAGCTGCGATCCAAGAGCATACTGCCAGTGACCTCGGGAATCTTCCTCCACAAAGCACAGGCTCTTAAAGATGCCACTGCCTCCTGACAGCTCCATGCTGGCAACCCGGACATTAGTCCATGGAATCTGGGGAGACATTTAGCATGCGAGACCCAGCAGATAATCATTTCTCAACTGTCCTGCAGAGTAGCCGTTATTAACCACATACGGACGTTCAACACTTCAGAAGTAGGAAGTGAGCAGCTAGATTTCATTTCATTTTTAAAGATTTTTTTTTTTTTATTGCAAAGTCAGATTTACGGAGAGGAGGAGAGACAGAGAGGAATCTCTCCCATCCGTTGATTCACTCCCCAGGTGGACACAATGGCCAGAGCTGAGCTGAGCTGATCTGAAGCCAGGAGCCAGGAGCTTCTTCCTGGTCACTCACATGGGTGCAGGGTCCCCAGGCATTGGGCCGTCCTCGACTGCTTTCCCAGGCCACAAGCAGGGAGCTGGAAGGGAAATTGAGCAGCCAGGATATGAACCGGTACCCATATGGGATCCTGGTGCATGCAAAGCTAGGACTTTAGCCACTAGGGTACTGCATCACGCCCAGATTTGCTTTCGTTTTCAACAGAGATTTATTGAGGGACAATTAATGTAAAATAAACTTTATAAATTTGAAGTGTAAATTTCCTCCCATTTTGCTGTATGAAGACTGGATACCTATGAGCCACACTCTGGTCGAGTCCTTCGCAGCCCTTCCTTCCAGCTCTGTGCCTGCAGAGAACCGCTCCAGTGGGCAAATCCAGGGCTGCGTCCCATTCACCATGGGCATGTCCAGGGCTTTGGCATGAATGCGGTGAACTGCGGTGTGCGTCCTCCCTTTGGTCTAGCTGTGGTACTCAGCACAGTGGCTGCTGAAAACATTCACGTGCAAATCTTGCTTTGAAGGACCTTGACCTTCCTTTCTTCGGGATGATTTCTGATCTCAGCATCGGTTTTGCTTTCTTGCTTCTTTGCATGTCTCGTTATTTTGTACTGACCGTCAGCCATTGTGAATTTTGCCTTTGTTGGCTACCGTGTACTTCTGGGTTATGATTCAGTGCTGCTGTGTGTTTCCGCCATGAGCAGTTCGTGGAAACACCTTGAACCTGACCTTAAGATCTTGCAGTCTGGCTGGTGGGAAGAGTTCTCTCCTGGCCCTGTGTATGCACCGGGTGCTTTTGCTGGTGTTCCCAGCCAGTCTCTCCCCAGGCTTGGGTGCTCTTTCTCAGTACTCAGCTGAGTCCCCTTGGGGCATCCTGTGTAGCTGTGTCCCCACTGTCGCTCTGTCCTGGGGACACAAGCCACCGTGCTGGCCCCTGATTCTCACATCCATCTCCTAACCTTTCCCTGTCCCCTAATTGGTAAACTCTCCAGTGAGGTCATTGCCTCACAGTGGCTAAGATGCAATCGCTTACAAATCTTTGTTTCATAGATTTTGTCTGCTGCTGGTTGCTACTGTAGGCTGCCGGTGACTCTCGCTCCTGCTACTGTCTGTTGACTGGAAGAACAAGTCCCTGATTTTATATTTAAATTCATTACAAGTTGAATTTAAATAGCAGTGCATGGCTACTGGCTTCCATGTTTGTTCTGCAGCCCAGTTCTAGCATCCAGAAGTTAACTTCAGTTTCTCATGCAAAAGGGAAGAATTTAAAAACAAACTAAAACCATGCACACGTTGGTAGCAAAATTGATATTAGAAAAAAATTGAAGCCTATAGCAAAAAATAATAGATGAACATTACCTGTTGAATTAGCAATCCGTTAACATGCCATCCTTTATGAGCTCATCCACATTGTAGACTTTTAAGTGTCTAAACAAAACAGTAGCGGCATGCAAAGAAAAGATGTGTAGGATCACCATAACACCTTTCAGAAATGAGCACCTTAAATAGAAAAAGGTCATTCAGAGGACAGAAAGTTTGACCTATTGAATAGAACATTTTTTAAATTTACTTTTATTAAAAAGTCAGGTTTACAGAGAAAAGGAGAAAGATCTTCCATCTGCTGGTTCACTTTCCAACTGCTGGAAATGGCCAGAGCTGAGCTGATCCTAATGCAGGAGCCAGGAGCTTCTGGATGTCCCACACAGGTGCAGGGGGCCAAGGCTTTCCCAAGCCACAAGCAGAGAGCAGGATGGGAAATGGAGCAACTGGGATCTGAACCAGCACACATAGCGGATTCCGGCGCGTACAAGGCGAGGATTTAGCCAGCAGGCTGTCACTCTGCGCCCTAGAACTTTTCATTTTTACTTGGATCTTTGATAAAAAATTAATCCATATATTACACTGTTTTACTAAGAGTATCTTAGCTAATTCAAATCATTTCACTAAGTAACAGTATAATACATTTGAAAAGAAACAAAATAATTTGGATTATGACACATGTTTCTTGGATTTTTTTTAACTTTAAATAATGCAGAAATTGAAATAGAAACTACGTGCCGTTTTGAACTAAAACCGATCGTTTCTCCAAAGCTCTGCTAGGCAAAGCCGCGTTTAAATCTTGCATGTTTACATTTTGTATTTGCTTTTTGTGGTTTTTTCCAAGCTGGCAACTGCTCATGGAATTGGAAGTTGGAAATAAAAAATAAATAACCAGAAAAAGAAAACAGAATAAAAAAAAAGTCAACAAGTCTCTGTCTTCCAAGCAGATTAAAAAAATAATAATAAACTATTTTAAAAGACACATGCCCCAGTTTAAAAATTGCAAATCCAAAGCACTGTGAGACAGCATTTCACATCCGCCGGGAGGGAGTGACCCGGTGGGCGGATGGTAGCAGGTCTGGGTGAGGTGTAACAAGCCCCGGAGCCCTTGTATGTGGTAGATGTGTGACATAGTGCAGTCGCTTCGGGAAATGGCCTGGCAGGTTCTCAAGTGAGTAAAGCTGGGGTTACCAAAAGACCCACAGTGCAGGGTGTGCACTCAAGAGGAATGGAGACACACCCAGCCAGCACCTGCACGTGGACCCGTGTAACAGCAGCATTCATTGGAGCCACAGGTGGAGAAGCCACATGCTCCCCACCTCACGAGTGCATGCACTCTGGTGTATTCATATTATAAAAGGAACGAAGTACTGGTGCCTGCTACCAGAGGGCCTTGGAGAACCCTGGACTGAGGAAAGGAGGCTGGCGACAAACGCTCGGTGCCGCGTGTTGCCCTTTGCAAGAGACGTGCAGTGTAAGAAAACCTTGTAGGAATAGGAGGTGAGTTCGAGCTTGACCTGAGGAAGAAAGTCAGAGCCAAATGGGAATGACTGCCTCCTGGATGTGGGGTTCTTTTGGGGGGTGCAGAGAGTTCCAGAAGTGATTGTGGGATGGTTGTACAACTCGAAAGTCAATATAATACAAACTAATTGTACACATAAAATGAGTGACCTGTATTATATGCAAATTATAGCTCAATAAAACTATTAAGATAGAAAAGTAATTTCAAGTTGTCAACTTTAAAACCAAAAAAAAAGAAAAAAAAAGAAGGAAAATGCATGCTACTTGGGAATTACAAGCAATAAAATGCTAAAATGGAAACACCAAAAAGATTAAAAAAAAAACTACTGTTATAAAGACACTTGCCACAGCCTTTTTTGTTTAAGCCAGTGTATTTGACAACTGCTTGAACTTGAGAGAAAAAGCAAAGGGCACACGTACAGAAGTAGGAAAAAAACTAATGTGATTAATAAAGATTTGTAGAAATGTTTAAAAAAGCTGCAATCCAAAGTTAAGTTTCATCAGCCATTAAGAATCAGTTAATTCTTGGGCCTGGCGGCGTGGCCTAGCAGCAAAAGTCCTCGCCTTGAGCGTGCCGGGATCCCATATGGGCGCCGCTTCGTATCCTGGCAGCTCCACTTCCCATCCAGCTCCCTGCCTGTGGCCTGGGAAAGCAGTCGAGGACAGCCCAAAGCCTTAGGACCCTGCAACCGTGTGAGATACCCGGAAGAGGTTCCTGGCTCCTGGCTTCCAATCAGCCACGAAAACTTGGTCTCATTGCTATTAACCCCACGGAGCATAGGTTTAAGGCTGTCCGGATTTCAGCCACTGAAAAGGAGATGGCTGGAAACACATGATTGTGTGTACAGTTCGCATCCTTGTAAGCTAACTGGAGCTCAAAGAAGTTTAGTTGGAAAAATGAAAAGCTTCTAAGAATTGACAAACCGGGCACTTTGACACAGTATATAAAGCTGCTGCCTGCGATGCCACCAGCATCCCGTAAAGGCGCCAGTTCAAGTCCCACTTCCAATCCAGCTCCCTGCTAAGGCACACTGGAAAAGCGGTGACATGGGACCCAAGGGCTTGGGCTTAGGCACCCGCATGGGAGACCCAAATGAAGCGCCTCGCCGTCGGCTTCTGTGGGACTGTCCCCGGGCATTGCAGCCATTGGAGAAGTAGAGCAACGGTTAGAATATCCCTCTCTTTCTCTTCCTCCCTGTAACTCTGCTTTTCAGATACATAAAAAATCTTTTTTTAAAAATTGACGAGTTACAGAGAACACTTCAATGGCTTTTTGTGTCTATCACAAAAAGTGTTTGTTTTCTGATACTGGTTATTCCGTATTTGTAACTAGAGGATAACATTTTCAGTTTGCTAGCTAAGTCATTGTAAGCAAGCACATTTTCCACTTCTAGTGTATTAGTTTTCTTTGGACACGTTCAGTTTCTTGTCTACATATTAAACTGAAATGCCGCAAAAAAGACTAGAATGCTTGTGGTGATTTTCTATCATTATGGAACATCAAAATTTATAATTTATCTTTTTTCTCTTTGTCCACTGAATAAAGGTGATCTCAAGAAAGTAAATAATGCATGGCAATTATTTTGCATAAAATTTCAATCATTGTGCACTGTTTTGAAGTGTTTTTTGTTAGAATTTACTTTTCTTTATTTAAAGGGCCAAATTACTTGCAGACAGCAAGAGCAAGGAACATCTGTGGTCAGCTGGTTTACTACTCCTCAAATGGCTGCCATTGGCCAGGGTTGGGCCAAGCCTGAGCCAGGAGCCAGGAACTCCCATCTGGGTCTTCCATGTGGCTGGCAAGGGTCCATGCCCTTGAGTCATCTTCTGCCACTTTCCTGAGCACATTAGCAGGAAGCTGGATCTGAAACAGCAACTGGGACTCAAACTTGCACTCTAATATGGAATGCCACTACGGCAGGTGGTGGCATAACCCTCTGTGCCACAGTGCTGGCTCCTTTCCTGAAATTTCACACTGTAAAATTGGCACAGGAGATAGATAGAGAAGTATGTGTGATTTGCAGTTCTTTGAAAAGTGAGCAGAAACGTGTCCCATCACACAGATTTTCCAGGATCAGCTATCACAGCTTTACAATTTGATGTAGGCACATACACTGCCTTGTACACAGGCAGGAGTAGCCAGTGTAGTGAGCTCTCAATCTTCTCAGAAAGAGGCGTTCTCACTGGTTGGATCTAAGCACCTGTTCCTGGGGCAGGTGTTGTGGCAAAACTGGCTCAGGGGTCAGCCGTGATGCAACATAGCAAAGCAAGTGTGGATCCACCCCTGGCTGCTCAGCCTTTCCTGTCCGGCTTCCTGCAAATGCACCCAGAAATGCAGCAGCAGGTGGCCCAGGTCCCGGGGTCCCTGCCTCCCCAGTGGGCGTGCCGGGTGGAGTTCCTGGCTCCTAGGTCAGGCCTGGCCCAGCCTTGGCTCTGGCAGGCATTTCAATGGGATCTCTCTGTCTTGTCCTCTTTCTGTTACTTGGCCTTTCAAATAAAGAAATCTTTATTCACGCACAGAATTCCTGCTAAAGTAACGGTTGGTGAATGGGGTGGGTGGGGAAGCGAGAAGAGGAAAGAGGAAAGAAAGTAGGAGGGAGACGGACGGGGAAGGGCAGCAGCGATGAAACAAGGTGGGGAGGACAGCACAACCCAGGATCCAACGGCTTTGTGCATCCCCGTTGTTCTTGGCAGCTTGTCCTGTTTTTCACAATAGGACAGTTTTGCTTCTGGGGATTATTTTCAGAGCTAGACAAGCTCTAGCTGTAGGGTGGGATCCCTGGATGACGAACACACCTGCCTGTCTGGAGGGACAGCCACCACTCAGCTTCCTGGTCGAAGTCTGAAGTCTAACAACTTGCACAAGTGGCTTTTTTTTTGCCTCTTGTCATATTCCGCTCCCCCACATCCCCCCTTAACTGTTCAAGTTGATCAGTGAGTGATTGAGTTTTAAATTATAGTTTATTTTCATTTTATTTGGAAGTTAGAAAATCAGAGACAGATCTTTTCTGTGCAGGTTCAGCTCCCTGCCCCGACTGCTCCCCAGTGCCCGCACCAGCTAAGGCTGGCCTAGGTTGTAACCTGGAGCTCTCTCCGGGTCTTCCATGCAGGTGGAACAGGGATCCAACCTAGAGCCATCTCCCAGGCTGCACTGCCTTATCAGGAAGCTGAGATGAAGGCAGAGGAGCCAGGACTCAAAGCAGACTCCAGTGTGGGTCATAGGTGCCCTGGCACAGGCCACTGGCAGCTGCTGGGCAATGAAAGTCTAATGATCCCTGGCCATGCCAGCCCAGCTATGGGTACCCTGTAGAAACACCCAACGGCGAGGGGCTTAAAGTGAGACTCTCCTTTTTGTCAGTTTTCCTTGTTTTCCAAGCAACCTAGGTTATTCCCACTGAGCTGCCTCTTCTGTAACCACCTGAAAATCCCAGACTCCCTCTGACTGTCATGCCAAGAACCTGCTGAGGACAGGATGCTGTGACTCGGAATCCATTAGGATAAGGATCTGTGAAGGACTACCAACACCCAAGCCATGTTCACTGTCCCAATGCCATTAGCTACCGGGCCCACTGACCGTGGCTGAAGTCTTCTTTGAATGTGTTTAATAAACCGTAAAAACTTGAGCTCAGAAAACGACCTCAGGAGTTTATGAAAAAAACCACAGAGAGAAGTGAATGTAGAAATACAGTTCTCTGTATTTGCATCACTGTACTGATGACACCTGTACTTGGTGCCTGTGGTTCAGTAACTTGGTTGCAGAAGTTGTTGATAGATAAGAGGTCAGCAGATAAAGCTGATCTGTCTTCCGCTTTCTGTCAAAGAACGGGATGACTCCCCTGATGCACGCAGCGTACAAAGGGAAGCTTGACATGTGCAAGCTGCTTCTGCGCCACGGAGCTGACGTGAATTGTCATCAACATGAACACGGATACACGGCCCTCATGTTCGCTGCGCTCTCAGGTGAGGTTTTGGCACTTAGCGTGCCTTCGTTAGTGTATGCCACCTGTATACATTTTTATAACTGTACGTTGTAAATAAGGCCAGTGCGTTTCTCTCATTTTGTTAACTTTAAGATCAGCTTGTAGGGAAAAAGTGCAACTGGCCCGTCAATATTTAAAGCCCTCGAAGGGCGATCAAACGGATGCAAAGAACAACGACCCAGGATCGTCTCTCACTGTGCCGTGGTGGCAAAGGTTAGGACACAGAGATGGCATCCAGGGCCTTCTGTGCCCTCCACCAGGTGTGGGTTTCAGTCCAGCCTGATTGGGCCACCGCCTGGCAGGCCCAGGCCTTTGGTGTAGCATTATTTCCCAGGCAACGTGGCTGAGGAAGTCATCGTAACACAGACTTGTGGTCCTGCTAGTGAAGGACTGTGAGCGAGTAACTGAAATTGTGTAGCTAGGAGACAGGTAGGTGCGTTTCAGTTGTTTCAGAGCCCGGAGGTGTGAGGGATGGCAGGGCTTAGAAGACATTGAAGCGAGAATCTGTTCATTCTCCTTTCTTTCCATGTTTATTTTAATTTTACACAAAGGATTTCGCACTGGGAGGATGATGCCTTGATTTAAAAAGTAATATCAACTCCATACCCCACGTGTAATGCTTGATTTGTTTCTCAGAAAACAACATTAATTTTAAGTGGATTCTATAGCAGTTTATTCTACGATGCTAAGTTAATGATTTGTATTCCGGGAGAAAAGACACTAACACACAGTGGAAACCTGAGAGTCGTTAGCGGGGAAGGGCTTAGAGGGTACAGAAGGAGGAGTGGATTGTGCGTATCTTCGGTTAACAGCTGCAGTGCCGTTTAATTCCAGGGAGCAAGGACATCACCTGGGCCATGCTGGAAGCTGGCGCGGAGACGGACGTGGTCAACTCGGTGGGAAGGACGGCTGCTCAGATGGCCGCCTTTGTGGGTGAGTGTCGCTGTGGCCTCGCGTTCAGTTGCACCTGACATTTCCTTTAGGGGAAAAGGAGCATTGCACTCACTGTCCTGTCTGCTTTTAAAAACAAAGCAGAAATGCTTACAGGCCACCCTGGCTTAACGAAATCCGGAATGATACCTCAGGGAAAATGAACAGCTATGTTAAGTTTCCATTTTGTGACATACATTGACATCTGAACCCCAGTAATTGCAATCGGAAGGTTTGGATGAGTTTATGCTAGTTCCCTCATGCAACAAGTTTAAGCTAATGTTTAAAAACAAATTGTGTGACTGGCAAGATGGTTCAACTGGCTAATCCTTCACCTGCAAGTGCTAGCATCCCATGTGGATGCCAGTGCATGTCCCAGCTGCTCCACTTCCAATCAAGCTCTCTGCTTATGGCCCGGGAAGGCAGTAGCAGATGGCCCAAAACTTTGGAACCTTGTACCCATGTGGGAGATCCGAAGAAGCTCCTGGCACCTGACATCGGATTGGCTCGGCTCTGGCCGTAGCAGTCATTTGGGGAGTGAACCAGCGAATGGAAGCTCTTTCTTTCTCTCCTTTTCTCCTTCTCTGTGTAAATCTGCTTTTCTGATTAAAAAAAAAAGTGAAACCAAACAAAACCACGGAATGTGAGATCACCGGCTCTAAGCTGACATGTTACCTGGGCCACTCTGAATTTCGTTTGAGAAGTGGTTACGGTTATTACAAGGAGTAGGAGAGTTGAAAGAATGAAAGGACTTTATATGTGGCAGCGAATAAATGGTGTTGTTGTTACTGCTCATAACTACAACAGTCCTTCCATTCTCTTTTAGAAAGGAGAGCCTACTGCTTCTTCGTTCCCTTCAGCCACAGGCACTGATTTTGTGCGCCCAGTAATGCTTGCCGAGGCAGTCCTCCTGCTTGCACAGCCTAGGTTCCGAGGAGAATGGCAGGAAATACTTGAGCAGTGATGTTTTGGCTGCATTGACTTGATGGTAGAGCGAGTCCTTTCACAGGAAAGTGAAGACAGAAAGCATGCTTTACTGGGAGTGCAGTCAGTGGCCCAGTGGGGACTAACTCAGCAGTTAGGGTTCCCAGCCCATGCAGCATGCATGCTTCATTCTAGATGCCTTGGTGACAGTCATGAACAAGGCGGAGGATGTCTGCCCTTTTATGGCATTTAGAGGCTAAGCTTAGTGACAAGCAGTGTGGAGATATTCTCCAAGGGAGGACCAAAGGGATCCGTGGGGCTCCTAGAGTTGGGGACCCCCAAATCACCTCCAAAATAATGTGAGAGCTTCAGGACAGTGGGAAAGGAGTACTCATATATAAATCTGGAAATGTGGGTCTTAAACTGAGTCGGACTGGCGGCATCCCCTTTGATTTCAAGGGGCTCCCATTTTCTGCTCTGTGTGCAACAGAGCAAGTTGTTTGCAACAAGCCAAGGTTCCCATCATGTCCGTGATGTAACACAGCAGAGCCAGAGCTGCAGTAGAGCCCATAACTAGGAACGTGGGTACCTCCTCTTGTGGGTCTTAAGTCAGCATTCTGATGTTTAATGAACAATGCAAGATCAACAGAAGTGGAGTCTGTCCACTGTCCCATCCTGAACAAGAGCAGTGTTTGTGTTGAATGTCACAGGAGTCAATGTTCCCACTAAGTTCACACACAGAAAATTACATTGCACCCTCTCAGTTGGGTTCATGGTTTCCAGATAATTGCTTTTTTTTTTTTTTTTAGTAAGACAGATTTATTCTAAATGTAGAGTAATAAGGAGAAACACACACAGAGAAAATTCATCTTGTATTTGTTGTTTCACTTCCCAAATGGACTGAGTAGCCAGGGTTGGAGCAGGCCAAAGCCAGGAGCCTGGTACTCCATCCCAGTCTTCCCTGTGGGTACATGGGTACACGGGCATCTTCTGCTTTCTCAGGAGCATTAGCAGGAAGCTGGGTCCAAAATGAAGCAGCTGGAACTGAAAGCAGCACCCATATGGGATGCAGGCGTTGTGGGCGATGGCTTACGCTGCTGCAGCGCCTCCCAGCTCAGGCGAGGAAATAAATGCAGTTATAGCAACAGCTGCCTCGTATCCTGCATGACAAATATTCCACTGAACATTTAGCTCTGCTTTCTCGACACGATTTAAACTGCTTCTCTGCAAGTAAGGCAGCGACCACCTTTGCTCTTCATGCCTTGTACGTGTTAGTACTTCGGTATCTGTGAGAAGTACTCCTGGAGGTGAAATTGCTGAGCAAAGAGTGTGTGTGTGTGTATGTATGTATATGGCTTTAATTTGAATGTGAACCAGGATTACCTTCAAAAGGATGGGACAATTCACATTAGTAGCCTCTGCTTCATTCCCCAAGTAGTTGCAATAGCCAGGGCTGGACCAGGCTGAAGCCAGGAGCCAGGAACTTCCAGGTCTCCCACATGGATGGGTACAGAGACCCAAACACTGAGGCCCTCTGCTGCTGCCGTCCTAGATGCATTCGATGGAGCTGGCTCAGAAGTGGAGCAGCTGGGATTCGAACCAGCATACCTTCAGGATGTTAGCATTTTAGGCAGCAGCCTAACCCGGTGCACTTCTGCGGCAGCCGCCTCCCTTCCCCCCCCCCCATTATTTCCACCCCTGGACTTTCCAGACTTGACCTTTGCATCTCAGCTTTTCATAATTTCTATCTTTGAACTTGTGTGCTTTGAGATAATTTGGCCTGTTTGCCCTCATCCGTGCTTGGTGGCCTGCAGGATTGCTTCTGTCAGTTTGCCTGTTAATTTTTAAGATCGCAGTTTTTCTGTGATTCCTAAGAATGGGGGTATGTGCTGCATTGGAACCTGCATGGCCGAAACGCAGGTGTTGGCTGCCTGTGGCCACAGTGCTTCCAGTCACACCACGCATGGCCACTCTAAAGTGAGCCTCGGAGCTGCTGCAGGACTGGGGCACTCTGCCCTGAGCCGCCACGTGCAGCCCACAGGGCCGTGGAGGGAAGTGCTGTGCTCCTGTGTCCTTAGGTCCACCCACCATTCAAGGCACAAAAGGAACTGCCCCAGGTTCTCCAGGGATGTGTCCAAGGATATGTCTCCTCCACTGCCCGCCAGTGCAAGGTGCAATGTACGGACCACCTCTACTGTCTCATGTGCAGGTGCAGTCACTTGACGCCATGTTGCGGTCCCATAGCAGGATGGAGTCTTAGAGAGCAGGGACCACAAGGGACTGCTAGGACACCCTCCCAAGGACTTATAGTCTGTGGGCTCTTGCCCCCACAGCAGGTAGAAAGGAGCAGGAAGTGTCTGTCCCAGCAGATTCCACTGTGCCCAACAGGGGCTGCCCACTTGCCCAAGACAGCCAGAGTGCTGGGAGAAGCAACTTTCAGATGCCAGCAGGGGAACGGCGCTTCCCTGAGCACTTCTGAGGCCAGAGACACTCCTTGGATCACCACTCTAACACAGGCTCCCGGAGCCCAGAGCTCTTCTCTAATTCATTCCCAAATTCAGGGACTGGGGGAGCTGGAGCAAATTCAATCATAATAATACTAAATACTGCTACTAACAACGTGTTTAGTAATAACAATGCACAGGGTACATTTATATTTTGTGTGAGTGCCACTGGGTGTGGTTAAGCAAGAGTGACAGCTGTCTGTGTGGTTGGATTTCCGACTCATCAACTATTATGAAATACCCGATGGGGGCTAGGCCTTCCTGCACCTGTGACACCAGCATCCCATATGGGGATGTGGGTGCAGAAGTTTATGCTACAACATAGCAAGTTGTGGCTGCTTCATTTGCAATCCAGCTCCCTGCTGTTGCCTCCTAAGACAGCAGCGGATGGGCCCAGGCACTTACAAGGGAGACCCAGAAAAAGCTCCTGACTCGACTTTCACCTGTCACAGCTCTGAGTATTATGGTCATGTGGGGAGTGGACCAACAGGTAAAAGATCTCTCCGTGTCATTCCTTCTTTAGTTATGCCTTTCAAATAAAAATAAATATATATTTTTTTAAGTTGGGGGGGTCGAGTGGAGAGAAATACTCAATGGAGTTATAGATTGAGCTTGAAGGACTTAATTATTTGAAGAGTTACAGAAGAAGAGAGATCATCCATTTGGTTCACTCCCCAGATTACCACAATGGGAGAAGCCTTGGCCAGGCTGAAGTAGGAAATTCATGCTACATGGGTGCCCAAGGCCTGGGTCTGTGTTGGCTGCTGTTTCCAGGCCATAAGCAGGGAGGGAGCTAGCTCAGAAGTGGAGTGGCTGTGACTAGAACTGGCACCCATATGGTATGCTGATGTCACAGGACGTGACTTTACCTGCCACAACATAGGGCCAGCCCCTCTCTAAAATATTTTTTTCTTTTCTTCCTCTTCTGTTCTTTCCTAAAAAAGTAAATATATTAAAGCATGTTGACCTCACAAGAAAAATGGAAATAACTCATGTAAAAAAATTTTTTTTCAGGGCCCAGCATGGCAACCTAGTGGCTAAAGTCCTTGTTTTGCACATGCTGCTTCATGTCCCAGCTGCCCTGCTTCCCATCCAGCTCCCTGCTTGTGGCCTGGGAAAGCAGTCGAGGACGGCCCAAAGCCTTGGGACCCTGTGTCCACATGGGAGACCCAGAGAAAGCTCTTGGCTTCTGGCTTCAGATCAAATCAGCTCCAGCCATTGCAGCCACTTAGGGAGTAAATCAGCAGATGGAGGATCTTCCTCTCTGTCTCTCCTCCTGTCCGTACATCTGACTTTCTAATTAAAATAGATCTTTTTTAAAAATCCAGAGGCTGTCTCATTTTTATAATAAGATGCATTTTTCTGTTTTTCCATTAAAAGGTCAACATGACTGTGTGACGATAATCAACAATTTCTTTCCACGAGAGAGGCTGGATTATTACACCAAGCCCCAGGGACTGGATAAAGAGCCAAAGCTGCCCCCAAAGCTGGCAGGCCCGCTGCACAAAATCATCACCACCACGAACCTTCACCCTGTCAAGGTAGTTCATTGCACACGCTCAGTGTCGGAATGCCACATCAGCATTTAAGCTGCCTGCCTTGAGTGGGGTCCTAGCTGAACTGGGCGGGGGTTGGCAGTCTGGAACAGATGGCAAAGGAGGGAAAGCTGAGCCACGAACGGGGTTTGACTCTGGAGCTTGCTCATGGGAGCCCATGGGAGGTTGCTCGGGATCAGACTTGCTCCAGAGGCACAAGGGAGTCCAGCTTTGTCTCCACGTCTGCCCTTGGCTGGGGCCTGTGCCCAGAGCGGAAGAACAGCCCCTGGCTTAGCACCAAGAGTGGTGGCTGCTCTTACTGATTCAGACACAGAGCAAGACAGACATTGGACCCACGGTGGTCAGGCCTGGCCCAGCGTGACACTGGAAGTCAGGAACTCCATCCCAGTCTCCCTCATGGGTGGCAGGAACCCAAGTACTTGAACCTTCATCTGCTGCCATCCAGGGAGCCTTAGCAGGAAGCTGGAGTTGGGGGCAGAGCCGGGACTCAAAGGCAGGCACCGTTGGATGGGATGGGTATCCTTACTGATGTCTTCATTGCTCGGCCAACAAGCACCTGTCCCCCGCGGCTGCCTGGCTGAGGTCAGGTGTCTGGAGGAGGCAGCCCCTCGGATTCCTTAGGCTGCAACATTGAGCATCTGTGAAGAGAAACAAGACCCTACCAAGAACATGGCCAGTGAGTCACCCTGCTAGAAAAGAGCCTCAGATGTAGTCGGGAATACATCTTCAATGCATGTGACTCTCTGAGACCTTTGAATAACACAGCCCTTCCAGAGGTTGGGCAGACAAATACTCATGTGGTTTATGCAGGAAACTGCAAAAACTGTTCGGAACTATTCCCGCTCTCCAGATTCTTATGCAGCCTTTGGTTTGGGTTCCCAAAATCCAGTGTTTGTGCCTCCTGCGGTGGTGGGAATACAGCTTTCACTCCCAGTCCTTGCCCTGGTGTGAGGTGCACCAGTGAGAGCAGGATTAATTCAAAGGGAGGCAGAGAGCACACCCTCAGGAATGGGCAACCCCGCCAGCAGGGACACTCACCATGACGGAGCCAGAGGAGAGAATATGGGAGAAAATTAGGGCAGGAAGGGCGCTGCTGCCTCCCCCAGTGCCCTTCATGGGGTAGGCGGTGCGTGGAAAAAGGGTGGGGAGTTTGAACCAGCTCTAGTGTGGGCAAGGTCTTCTGGGAACTTTATGGCATCTGCACGTGGAATTCATCATCTCCTCCATCAGGGTCCCTGAGTGCATCATGGGAGATGGGGGCCGTGCTGGATTGGCATGCAAGAGGGTGGAGCTAACGCGCACGGCTGTAAGACAGAAATTGTGAGAGAGTCCGCCAGTTCATTTTTCCAGTGACTCCCTGCCTGGTCTGCGTCTCACCAGCATGTGTGAAGAGAGGGAGGGCATAGCTTCTGCTTGGTGCTTGTGTGGTGCAAGCCAGCATGGAGAAAGCTGGTTTGTTTTTCTTTGGCTTTGCTTGGTTTTCAGATCTACTCCCTGCCTTTCACGTTGATGTTTGTACCACTTTAGAGTACAACAGGCTCCGTGGAATAATGTCTAATGCCTCCATGGAACCCATTCTGTTGTGGTTAAATTTTAACAGTCAATTAACATTCAATTGCTTGAAAAGGTATGCATCTTGATTGAATTGGGTTAAGGTTTTGTGTGTGTGTGTGTGTGTGTAGGCAGTACATTGGCAAAGGAACATAACTTAGGCCTACATGGGTTCTTTGAGAGCTCTGAGTTTTATAAAGGAGACAGTTCCATCACTAGCCCCCTCCTGCAGAGCCTCCTGCTCTCTGCAGATGCGTCCAGTCCAGATGCTCTGGATGTGAAAGCTGCCCTGGTGGCTTTTGTTGGGGCTCTCTTCCATCACTTCACCCCTTTTCATGCCCGCCTGGTTCTTTCTATGGAATATCATGGGAGAAGTTTGGCAGAGTCACTGTGTAAAATCACGCAGGTTTTGAAGCACGCACTGAAAGTTGCCTTCCTCATGGCGGCGTGCTCATTGTGGCTGTGACTGTGCCCAGCTGAGTGACTGCCATAGCAGTCAGGGCATGTTTGTTTCCCAGCAGGAACCTGGGGAGTTGTGCCCATGGCCCAGAACGTAACAGTTAGCAGCAACACACAGACCCAGCCAGCACGGCAAACAGGGAGGCAGCAGGTGCACACTGAGTGATTGCCGCCTGATTGCCACGATTGTTGACTCGGTATTTTATTTTTTGTAAGTATTTTATATTTGCTAATCTTTATGTAGTTGATTAGGACACAAAGCGCCAAGGGCTACAGGAAAGTGGGTAAGACCATTGTTTCCACTTTCTCTCTCTCTCTCTCTCTCTCTCTCTTTCTCTTTTTCTGTATCTGGGGTAAAGGGGGAGATAAAGAGAGAAGACTCACCCAGCCTCCCACCCATCCCAGGTCCCCGACATGGGACATGCTCCAAGGGCCCTGCTCAAATGGTTTTGGTAGTTCAACAGTTCTGAATTGCTGCCAATCTCACCATTCCAAGCACGATGAAATCTCTTCAGAATCCACTGGCTGACATAGTCCACCTTAGAGTCTCCATTTGCCCAGATTTTTACTCATATTTCAGTTCATTTTAAATATAAGGTTTAAAAGATGTTAAAGGAGTGGCAGACGGCACCACATAGATGTGTCCTAAGACGGCAGTCCTCTGGGAGACAGGCCTTCTCCCGACAGGCGTCTCTTCACTTCTTCCGAAAGTTGGCATACAGATTTCCTTTATGATGCCTTAAAGCTCACGGCGTAGCAGCGACAGGAAGGCAGCGCGGGCGGACACTGTTCTTTCGCATGTCACTGTGTGAGTGCTTCGTGGTTCCACTGTGGTTATTGTGCGTCTTTGCGTGCATTTGCTGTGTGCGATCAAACAAAGGCTGTGCCCTCCAAGAAAATTCCATTAATATGAGTTCCATTTGAACTCCTTCAGAAGCTTTAAGATCCTGCACTTTGTTTATAAACTCTGGAAGTCAAAATTATTGATTCCACAACTTTGAAAGATTGTGGTTAGCCAGAAGTATAAAGAAATTGTTAATGAGTGTTTTCCGCCATCAGTTAACTTCTGATATCCATTTTGTCAGGGGGAGTAAACAACAGAATTTTCCAGTAAGAATTCTGATTGTGCTTACTCTGTTAAGTCTCACATTGCGAAGTGTTGCATTCTAAGTAAAGTAGTAGGTGAAATTCAGTAGTGTCAAAAATAAATGAAAGAACAAGGTCAGTGTTTGGCACAGTGTGTGTTACACCACTAACTACGATGTCAGCATCCGACGTGGACACCCGTGGGACTCCCAGCTGCCCCTCCTCTCTTCCAGCTTCCTGCTAATGAGCCTTGGAAAGCAGAGGAAGACGGCCCAAGTACTTGGACCTCTGCACCCATATGGGAGAGCCAGGTGAATCTGGGAGTCCCTGGAGGTGATCTAGTCCAGCCCTGGTCCTTGTGGCCATTTGGGGAGTAAACCTCAAGATGGAAGACACCTATCTCTTTTCTCCCCTCCCCTCCCCTCCCCTCCCCTCCCCTCCCCTCCCCTCCCCTCCCCTCCTCTCTTCCCTTCTCCCTCCTCCCCTCCCCTCCTCTCCTCCCTTCTCCCTCTCTCTCTCCCCCTCCCTCTCTTACTTTCTCACTAGCTCTCTCTCTCTCTCTCTCTCTAACTCTGCCTTTCAAAGAAATTAAAAACTGAAAATCTTCTAATCCCAAGGACATTGATTCTGTACTAAATTTTCAAGTGGTGGACGGGGCACCGATTTCATTCACTTAAGTAATGCTTAAGGAAAAGAATGTAACTCCAGAAACCTTCTCATGGTTTTCCTTGAGTTTTATAATCCCCAGGTTGAGTATTTAGCAACCGCAGTGTCTGCACCCTGTGCCTACGCCTGAACCACGTTGCCCACGTACTCACAGTACTGTCATAAGCCACCCGAGGTCTGTGTGACATCGGCGCACTCCTGTGGGTTTCCTCTCGTGGGGCCTGCTATGTACAGCTCAGGGCTCTGAGTGCTGCTGCGGAAACTGGGTTTACGGTCTCCTGTTTGACCCAGTCTCCTTCCTATGCATAATGCCACACATCCTCAGGGAAACGCTCACAGAGAATTGCAAATTCATATCAGAGTAAAAACACATTTCATATCTAGAGTTCTTTCCATAAAAGTACCATTTTCTTCTCATCAGTAAGAGCTGTAGTTCTAGCGACAAAAATCTAGAATTCTGTAGTGTGAGCCCAGAGTAGTTGCTCGGTGGTTGGATTCTAGATATGAGGGGCATGCAAGCGTGTCATGTTTATCTTTGGGAGAAGTGCTTTTAGCAGAGACCGCAAGCGAGGGACTCAGCGTTGTGCTGAATGCTCCGTCTTAGCTAGCAGGCAGCTCGGTGTTGCTGCATGGATGATCCATTAACCAGCCACAAGATAGATCACGTTACAGCTTTAACAGAGGGAGGCGAAGAGACTGCAGTCCCTCCGTGGAGCGCCCTGTCGCTGGGATGGATGGCAGTGTGCCTTCCAGTTTGAACTGGCAGGGTGACACTGTTGCCCTAGGCAGGGCCTTCTCTGGCAGTCCTTCGGAACCTGTTGAGCAAGTGTCCCGATTTGTCACAGGTTCTCAGTCTGCTCCACCTCTTTCTAGATCGTGATGCTTGTGAACGAGAATCCCCTGCTGGCGGAGGAAGCGGCCCTGAGCAAGTGCTACCGAGTGCTGGACCTGATCTGCGAGAAGTGCATGAAGCAGAGAGACATGAACGAAGTCTTGGCCATAAAGATGCACTATATCAGCTGTCTGTTTCAGAAGTGCATCGGCTTCTTGAAGGACGGAGAGAATAAACTGGACACTTTGATCAAGAGGTACTGTTCTTCCCATGCTGAGTTCTCAGCAGGCTCAAGTGCACCCTATTATACTGCATGGATTGTGATTAAGGAGTTAAAAATGAAGCAATTTAGTGGGAATGTCGGGGCTCACATTCAGGATTCAAAAAGCAGGGACACGGCCCGGCGCGATAGCATAGTGCCTAAAGTCCTCGCCTTCCCATCCAGCTCCCTGCTTGTGGCCTGGGAAAGCAGTGGAGGACAGCCCAAAGCCCTGGGACCCTGCATCTGTGAGGGAAACCTGGAAGAGCTCCTGTTTCCTGGCTTTGGGTTGGCCCAGCTCCAGCTGTTGTGGCCGCTTGGGGAGTAAACCATTGGACGGAATATCTTCCTCTCTGTCTCTCCTCCTCTCATTCTTTCCAATAAACATAAATAAATCTTTTTTTTTTTTTTTTAAAGGCAGGGACAGGGCAGATGCATATTGATGTGGTTCAGTCACCACTTGGGACATCCACATCTCGAAAGAGTGTCTGGTTCAAATCCCAGCTTTCTGCTCTGACTCCAGCTTCTTGCTAATGCTCACCCGGGGAGGCAGACTCCGTCCCTGACCCTCAGTGCAAGATCAGAGTGAATTCCGGGCCCTTGGCTTTGATCTCGTTTACCCCTGGCCCTTGCAGACATCTGAGAAGTGAATCAGTGGATCAAAGATCTCTCTTCCTATGTCCCTGTCTTTCGAATAAAATGAAAATACTTTAAGATTTGTTTGTTTTGCAGACAGGACTGTAGAGAGAAGGCGAAACATGCACACACTCACACACACAGAGATGCCCTCATCTGGTTCACTCCCCCAAATGGCTGAAACAGCCAGGACTAGGCTAGGCTGAAGCCAGGAGCCAGGAACTCCCCCCAGGTCTTCCAGATGAATGACAGGGACCCAAGTGCTTGAGCCATCTTCCACTGCTATCCTGCTGTGCTGGCCGGGAGCTGGATCAGAAGCGGAGCAGCCGGGACTCAAACTGGTGCTCATGTGGGATGCTGACATTGCGGGCAGCAGCTTAAACTGTGGAGGAAATGGGCAGTAATTACCCTTCGCCTGATCATTCTGGACCATTCTATTCTATCTGTGCCTTTCGTGGTGACTTTTGTTGCTGTCACTGATAGATGCATGAGGAAAGGAAGGTTGGCAAACGTGCAATTGCATACATGAAGTTGAACGTGTCCCTGGTCCATACTGGAGATAGAGCAGCTTGTGGTGCTGGGTCTGATGTGACTCAGTTTCTGTCCCTTGGGACCTGTGCGGTGCCCTTGTTCTGACTTCCAGAGACCAAATTGTCCTGCAGCTGATCGAGAGAGGGTACCTAACACAGACAGGGGGAACTTGCTGAGTGTTCCTTCAGCCTGCAAGTCACTGGCGTGATGAGAAGCAAATAGCTAATCCTCTGGAGTCAGCTTTCCCTATGCATCACAGGGTCCCAAAACCCATCCTGCAGGTGGGACAACAATTGGACCGGGTCCGGCCCCACCCTCTGAACATCTCAGGCAGCAAAGCAGGGATGGGAAACTTGTGGGCCCAGCCAAGGCTGGAGCCGGGTGGCCCAGTGCCGCTCATTCGCTACAAACTGTCTTTCAGCCTGTTGAGAGGCCGCGCGTCCGATGGCTTCCCAGTGTACCAAGAGAAGGTGGTGCGAGAAAGCATCAGGAAGTTTCCCTACTGCGAAGCCACACTCCTGCAGCAGCTGGTGCGAAGCATCGCTCCTGTGGAAATTGTAAGCTCCCTGCTAGTCGGGCGAGGTGGGAGGGAGACCCAGCGCCCGTGCTGTCCGAGCAAGCTGGGGTTGGCGGGGGGAGTGGGCACCCAGCACCCTCGTTGTCCCTCCCTGACGGCCGAATAACCCGGGGTGGGAGGTCGTGGAGACCAGCACCCACATCCCTCCCTGCTAACCAAGTAAGCTCTACAGGGGGAGACTGGAGCCCAGGTCCTTCCCTGCCAGTGAAGGGAGTGAGTTCCTGGGGGGAGACCAGGTGCCCACATCCCTCCCTGCTAGCCCAATGTGCTGGTGGGGACAGGGGTAAGTTAGGTGGGCAGGTGAGGGCAGAGCCATGCCCACACTCCCTCAGGGCTGAAGGCGCGTTCTCTCCGGCATTGATTTCATGTCAGAGGATTCCTGGAAACAAAGATGGAGACAGGTCTGCCCACCGTGCACATATTTGTCTGTGCATTACCCCTCTTGCTAGACACTTGGAACCTTTTCATAGCTTGGAGTATTTATCAGCATCCTTCTGTGTGAGAAGGTGGGTGCTTACAGTGGAAACTCGTGTGTTAAATTCCTCCATGAAAACTGTAAAGGTGAGCCCGTCTGCTCTGGGCCATGCACCTGCAGCCCTGAGAGCCTGCCAGTGCCAAGTCTTGCGCCAGATTGCCATCGGGGTGGGTACGGGAGTGCGGGGAGTGGCTGCGTGGCCGTGGGGAAGCTCATAAAGGCTCCTGATGACCTCAAAGGATGTTCCTGCTTGCCACATGCTGCACCCCAGTTCCTCTGATGACACAGTGTCTGCACTTAGAAGCCCTGTTTGGGTTTCTCAGCCGTGGGAAATGTGTTTCTCCTTCCCTTTATTATCTAACTGCAATCAGCCCCTTTGTTGCGCATGTTTCCGCCAGCAGTATTGCGTAAGAATTTCCCAGGCCTGCCCGTGGTGAGGCGAGCCTGTTGACCTCCTCCGTCCTCAGTCACGCTTGAGTATTTTCCATTCAAATCCTTTTCCTGCCCCCCTTCCATCAGACAAGAAGTAGAGCCCAAGACCAGGCCCATCCTTGCCTTCCTTCCTCCCTCCCTCCCTGTGGCCAGGGTAGGTCCCTTCAGGCTGCTGGATCAGGCTCAGCATGGAAAATGAGGGCTAGAAGTGGGCTCTGTGTGCTTCTATGCATGTTAAGATTTTACCTCCTGTAAACTGTGAAATAGACCTTTATGAGGATGACCTCATAAAGGCTACCCAGCAATGTATTTGTGAGAATTCCCTATACTTAAAAAAAAGAGAGAGAGCTCTTTTATTTGTTTTTTACACTTACACCGTGAATTCCTAGGGAAGGGGTTTTGCTCATAGAGTGCCCACCACGCTGAGTAAGCCCATACATTCTCCTGATGAGACGCCTGCCGTTGTCCGTTACACAGCGGTGCCAACAGCGTGCTGGAGGGCACCATGGACTGTCCACATCCCTTTAGGTACAGTGCCCATGCCATTTTCTGTTACACAGTGGTGCCAACGGCGTGCTGGAGGGCACCATGGACTGTCCACATCCCTTTAGGTACAGTGCCCAGCCCTCGAGGTCGGCAGCATCACCTTCCTTGTGGATGTGCTTGTGTATAGTCAAGGAGCCACTGCACATTCCTAAAAACCCTGGAGAACTCGTACCCAGCTCCTCTCCTCTTTCCCTTCATGTCCGTCATTTTTCGGATTTTTCGTTGCTGCTTTTCTTGTTCTGTAAAGAGATCCTTCCACTAGTTCTTTCCCCAAATGGCTGCATCAGCTGGGCTGCACCAGGTTGAAGCCAGGAACCTGTTCGTCCATCCTGTTCTCCCATGAGGTTGGGAGGGATCCAAGTTTGTGGATCACTTCTTGCTGTCTTCCCAGGCGGAACAGCTGGGACTCCAACCAGGGTTCAGACGGGATGCCGTCATCACAGGCAGCAGCTTGAGCTGCTCTGCCATGAAGCTGGCCCCTGCGTTCACCGTCTTGGCCAGTTACTGGAAGATGGCAGTTCAGTTCCCGCTCAGTCTCCCCTCGCTTAATACACCTGTGGGGGTGGGGAGGCAGCACAGACATTTGGCCCGGAGATGAAGATGCCGCTGGGAACATCTGTGTGTCCCGTATCAGAGTGCTTGAGTTTGAGGCCAGGCACTGCTTCAGCTGCAGCATCCTGATAGAAGACCTGAACCGAGTTCCTGGCCTCTGGTTTCCACCTGACCAAACGCCAGCTGTGGTAGGCATTTGGGGGAATGAAGCTTCAGGTGAAAAACATATCCCTTTGTTTCTGTCTCTCTCCCTATCGCTCCGATTTCCAAGATAAATAATAATAATAATAAGAAAAACTTACATATATGTATCCTTGACCATTTGATGTTTAACTTTGGGGAAGTTAAAGTCCACAAAATACAAGGGTGATTTATCATACGTGATTGTGTTTTGACTGTGCCTTATAAAGTCCAGCCAATGTAAATAAAATATCATGAGTTTCTGTATTGACATACCTCTGACCACCCAGAAGTGGGTGGTCCAGATCTGGGACAGTGGTTCCCAGGGGCTGGCATCCAAGCCCTCCCATCTTGCCCATGTGGGGTTCTGGTACTCATGCGTATGACTACGTATCTGCCAGGCATTTGTGGCTCTCCCTGCAGCCTTACCTCCCTAGCTACAGAAGGCAAGAACCATGGGGTTCGTACATGGGAAAGCTGAGCTCTCCAGCTGCCCTCGGTCCATGCCACATGCCCACGTGTAACTGCAGAGACGTACCGGCAGGAGGGTGGCTGCCGCTGTCTGCACACTCCCGCTCTGGGCAAGGTTGTATTTCTGTTAGTGGGTGAAGTTGAGGACACCAGAGAGTGACCGGCAGTGCCCCTGTGAGGGATTCCAGGGGACGTGGTGCCTGCCTGGGAGAAAAACAGAAACAGCCAAAAATAGGAGCTGCAAGTCTGCAGGTCAATGTTGGGGGCAGCAATTCATCATAGGCTGTTGCCCAGGATAATATAATTGGTTTCTGGTGTCTCATGATGAATGCTGATCCTAATCTGAGCCGTCAAGAGGAGGCTAGAACAAGGCGAGGAGAGTAGCTAATGAGTTTTACAGAGCTTCCTTTAGAGAAAATAAAATGTTTGTTCTTTAAAAGTTACACATTCTACCCTGTGGGGACAAAACTCCATTGACGCCCACTGCTTGTGCTTGTAACTGGCCCGGTCGGGGGTCAGCCCTGCCTGGGAACATCACAGCTTCCTGAACTCCTGAAGTAGTGGGGAGCTCTTCCCCCATCAGGATGGCACTCAGACCCAGCCGTCAGTCTCTTCAGATGCCGTTTCTTGGGGTCCCACTACCGCCCACTCAGTGTGGGGCTGTGGTTCGCACCCGTCCTGGAGCTCAGCAGTAAGTGGGAGGCTGGGCGGAGACGTGGGGCCCCAGCTGCAGAGCAGGTTCCCCTGCGGAAGCTGTGCTGCTTCGCCCCTCCACAGTGTGGACCGTAGCTTCTGGAAGCTCGGCTCCTGCATTCATTGCAGGTGCCTGGACCCTACTCATTCGGAAGGGATGGGTTTGAACTTGGAGCAAGGTTTCTGATGGCATCCTCCGCCTGAGCACAGCCCCCGGGGACTTGGCATGCCTAAGGAGAGTAGCGCCAGGATCCACTCGCTGAGGCTGCGTTTCACCTCCTTTGCCACCCCGACCCCCGTGACCCCCGTGATACAGTCTGCGTACCGGAAGAGGACTTCTCATGTTCTGACATGAAAGTGCACCCAGTCGTTCCGGTTTATATTCAGGAAGAATGCGACTGCTGGAAAACGGCCATGACTTTTAAAGTGCTTCTGGAACTTATTGTCATCTTTGACTGTCTGAATAAACAAGGGTGGGGCAGTGTTCCTGGGGGACCTTGTACAACTCTCCATTAGGTACAGACGGTAAGATGGACTTAGAAGCAAGTGGCAAGGCGAGGCAAAAGACTCAACAATTTGAAACTGGGGCAGAATTCTGATTGGGAACAAACAAGCACATTTGAACAGCTGAGAAACGAAATTGTTATATTTAAAAATTGGACACCTGTGCTCGCTTCGGCAGCACATATACTAAAAATTGGACACCTGTAATTATTTCTGCTTAGGCCTGTGTGGGTTTTAATAAGAACATCTCAGAGAAACATTCTTCTCGGAAATATTTCGTAAATCCTTCATGACTCACTCAAAGTTTCAGTAGCCCTCGAGTGGTAATTTTCATGTTATTCCATTTTACGCTTTGTTATTACTCAGTGTAGCTTTATGTATGTCTATGACAGAGTTTAGAACATTCTGTGATTTCAAATCCTAATTTGACTTGCATCGCACACTAACAGCACATATTTACTGTTAAATGAAGGAAATATTTCCAGTATTCAGATCGCACCACGTAGTTGCCTCACAGGCTCTGAGCACCGGGAGAAAATGTATTGTCCCACACCCAACAGCCCTGTGGACTTTCACTCCAGAACATGGCCCGTTGTTTTCTCTTCTGTGGCGGGGAGCCCTGACTTCTTAGCTGCTTTGTGTAGAAAAACGCTAGCACAGATGCTTTAATTTTTTTTTTTTTGTCACGAAGCGTGCGTGAACGCCAGGCTCCCTGGGTCGTCTGTCCACGTCTAGACGGCATGGGTCACGGCATGACCTCGGTGTCTCCGTCCTCTGCGATGTCACACTCTCTCTTCTTCCCAGGGCTCCGATCCCACTGCCTTCTCTGTGCTCACCCAGGCCATCACTGGGCAGGTGGGCTTTGTGGACGTTGAGTTCTGCACCACCTGTGGAGAAAAAGGAGCAAGTAAAAGATGTTCAGTGTGCAAAATGGTAAGGACGGGGTGCTTTCACACTCATGTACATCTGGCTTGGTGGGCTTCCCAGCTGACAATCGAGCGTTCACAGTCTGTAGATGTGACACCAGTGCTTGGGAAGGAGTTTGGGCAGAGCTCTGTCAGGTGAGTGAGTGTAGTTCTGTGTCCTGTCTCTACCAGGCTCTGAATCGGTCTAGGTTTGTGTGCTGACCAGCCCAGAGAGAGAATGAGAATGAATGCATGCGTGAATGTGAGAAAATAAGAGAAAGTTTATCTGTAAAGCGGGGCAGACTGAGGCCAGTGCAGATGTGAAAGTCTACCAGGACAACCCAAGCTGAACTCCTTGGTGACCACCTCTTTATGGGCCCATCGACAACTTCCTGTTGCCCTGTGGAATCGCTGGGAACCACACTGCCCTCTTCTGGCCAGTGTAAAGGACGCCTCTCTGTTCTCACATACTATGCATGTGCCGGTATCCGCAGCCACCCCCAGATCAGGTTAATTTCCTGTTCCTTTCAAGACTGCGTTTCTGAAGCACCTGCAACCCATCACTGTCCACCATAGCCTATTTCCCCAGCATCATCTCCTGTAGTAATTCACTTCCCTGGACCCCAGTTTCCTGTTGTATGGAATGAGAATGAGTCATGCTACAGACACCCATGTTCCAGTGCCCAGGGCTTACCACAGCTACCATAGGTGGTTCTCTTACGTTGGTGTGGCTGACCCCAGCTGGGGAAGCGTGCACCTGGGCCAGTGGGCCAGTGGGCCAGGCTGAGCAGTTTCTCAGAGCAATCACGGGGGAACAGATGGGGAAATATAAACATATGAGGCCTCCTGCAGCCTAGTCTGTCCTCCTGATGCCAGGATACAGTCTCCATGTGGAATGCTGCTTGTCTGTTGCTCTGTCTCCCTGGACCCAGCCACTGAGTGTCCCGGCTGTACTCGCTCCCCTGGCCCTTCCGTTCTGTGGTGTGTCTGCCTCCCTCCACTCTTGCCTTCTCTGGCTCTTTCGCAACACCGACTTCCCCTGGGACAACAACCACATCTCGCTGGTCCTTGTACTGGGCCAGCTCTGATACACACTGTGGTCCTCTTGAGCCACTACTTTGTGTCTTAAAATGATCTTTACAGGTCCTTGTGGTTGTACATTGGAAGCTATAAATCTTGGATGACATTGAGGCACAGTAGTTAAGTGTCCCATGCCAGAGGACCTACTTGGAGTCCCATTGGCTCTGCTTCTGATTCAGCTTCCTACCAGTGAGCACCTCAAGAGGCATCAGATGCTGGCTCAAATACCCGGGCCCTGCTCATGCCATGGAATTCCAGCCTTGACTGCCACAAGAACTTGAGGAGTGAATCAGCAGATGGAAGATCTCTGTGTATCTCTTCCTCTCCTTTTCAAATTAAATGGCAAATATTTCATTTAAACTGGATTCTGAACAAAGGAGGTAGGGGAGAGAAATCAACCACATAAATAATGTCTGTAAAGCTTAGGTTGCTTACAGCATGGTTCTTGGTGTGATGTCATGCTCAGGAGCTCATGTGATCACAGTTCTGGAAATGAAACTAAGCCTGTGGTTGCTTTTCAGGTAATCTATTGTGATCAGTCCTGCCAGAAAACACACTGGTTTGCCCATAAGAAAGTCTGTAAGCAGCTGAAGGACATGTGTGAGAAGCAGAGGTTGGAGGCTGCCAAAGAAAAGAGTCCAAAGAAGAACAGTATGTATATGACCCCTGAGCCCGTCCTGCTTGTCATGGGGGGCAAGGGCTGGCTGAGTTGGCGTCAGCTACGAGCACAGGGATGAATGCTCCGGGGTGACGTGTTTTCTTTATGTTAGTACAGATTTTGTGTGTTGCAGACGCATATAATGAGCCTGCTTCCCTCCCGCTCCTGCCCCATCAGTTTTTGCAAAGACGTAGTTTTGATCCACTCTGTATTCACAGGCTTGCTTCCCCACCGAGCATAATAGTCAACAAGTAAAAAGTGGGGAGATGGCAGTGTGGACGTGGCTAAGAGCAGCAGTTGCATCCCCATTCTCTATTAGCTGCTGCAAGACAGAGCGTCCATGTTGTGTGACTTGTTGAGACTAGCATATTTCACTAAGCATCATGGTTTCCAGTCGCATCCATTTTTGGAAACATGCTTCCTTCACAGACAGAGGCCTGGCCTCCCTGCCTCCACGTACCGATAGGAAACAACCGTAGGCAGGCATTCACCACCCCACGCACATTAAGCTCTCGGGAAGCTGAATGTGGAGGCAGATTTTTTTTTTTAACCCAGTTGGCAAACAGCAGGCCTGACCCAGGAGTCTGGATCTGGAGCTGAAGGCCTCGAGTTCAGCCATCGTGCTGTGATGCTTGGAACAGTGACCAAACCCCTCTCTGCTTGGGAATCCCCCTTCGTAGAACAGTAGCAGCCAGGGACACCGAGATGGCAGGCTCTCTTGGAGAGCTGTCGGGAGCTTAAATATGATAACATTGAGAAGACGGCCTGGCATGCGGTACAAAATCTAATAATTTTTTTTTTCTCATCAGATGGCAAATGTGATGCCAATTCCAGCTGTGGTGATGAACAGCCAGCAGGTGCATCGGGAACCTCCCAGGAGGGTCTATGTTCCAAGGACCAGGTAGATGGAGAGAGAGAATCTGTTCTGAGTGAGGTGGACGTAGGAGGGGGGCAGGATGCACCCAGCGGGCCCCAGGCAGCCGAGGAGTGAAACAGTATGGCAGGTGTCAGCGTGGATGGTTGTCGCCCCGGCTGTCAGCTGGAAGACTCGTGTAACTAGTGTCGTCATTGCCCATGACACCTGCATGGCACCAGACGGGACTAGACATAGCATAAAAACTTCCTCTGGTGCCCTACATGGCCTCGTTTCTGCTTCGTTTCTGTCCTACAACGGAACACATAATCCTATGGAAAATATTTGCTTTCAAAATCCGGAAAAGGCATTTCCAGGCCCTCCAGGGAGACTGGCTCCCCAACTCTGGCTCTCACAGGGAAAGAAGTCCCCTTTAAGAAAACGTCACCACCAGGGAACGAAAGGAGAAGCGGAAGAGATGTGCGAAGGGAGATTTTTCCAGGAAGGAGCGCAGACAGGTTGGAAAGTCCTAACTTACGCATGCATCAGGCTCAGAGTAACAGCACGGCGCGGCAGCGAGGTTGTCCGTGACGCAGGGACACGGCAGGGAGCTGAGTGTTGGACATCAGCCTGAGCCGCGTGGGCCCGGGGAGAGCATACCTTCAGAAATGTCAGATCCCTCGGGAGGAAACAAGGCCTCCCCAGGATATGTCAGCATGTGCTTTAAAACAAATAAATAAATACATAAAATAGTTCCCGAACCTTCTGATGAACTAACCCACTGAACGTACTGTGGACAGGGTTCTTGTAAAACCGGTCCCCGTGCCACCCTCTGCCCAGGCGGCTGACTCTGTCTTCCTGCCAGCTCTTCAGAGGGCTCCTCCCGTCCAGAAACTGTGACTGACATCCCATTTAGGTCAGGTCCCGGCACCCACCTTTAGCTGACCCGGTATTTGAACAGAGCTGGAAGGTGCCGTACAGAAGGCAATGCTGAGTCTCCTCCAATTGGGACTTTTTTCGTGTGATTTTACAATAAATTGTGCCTATTGAGATAAATGGCTCATCCTGTTTCCTTGTTGATTGTTGGTAAGCAGCAGATGGTAGAGAATAAATAGGACACTTAGCACATAGGAATAAAAATGAAAATTATTTTAACTTACGCCATCGTGGGTAAAATGATAACACATGGACCCGGTACAATAGCCTCGTGGTACAACAGACACCCTCCTTTTGGCTGGGTGGGGTCTCCTCTTCCACATCTCCTCTGCAATGCTACTTCCCGCGGTGTATTCCAATCGCAGCCACTTCACAGCCTTTCATGATTGAGTAAAACATTTGCTAGTGTTGAGAAACCCACTTGAACCCAAGTATGTGGGTTCGTGCGAATGAGGCACGCCCCCGTTAGTTCCCTAGGATGAAGACTTTTATTAGAACAAACTCATTCTTTCTGGTGACTGTGGCAATAAAAATGTCAGGAGCAACATTTTCTTTTACTGTCCTCTTAGTAGTTAATCAGATTAACTGCCGTCTCATTAAAAAAAAAAAAAAATCAGGTCAGGCGCTATGGCTCGGTGGCGGAGTCTTTACCTGGCAGGCACCAGGTCCCATATAGGTGCCAGTTTGTGTCCTTATCGCCCCACTTCCCATCCAGCTCCCTGCTTGTGGCCTTTCCAATAAAAATAAATAAATGTTTAAAAAACATTTGGCTGCTGATGTGCCGAACCAGCCAACCTGATCCTGAATACGCCGTTTCCATCACCACCGGCTGTTGCCGCCCCGTGTTCCTGCTTGCTGGGCCTCTTTGTGTGATCAGCTTAGACCTCCGTGCCGGGGTGGGTGCAGTGGCGTTCCTGGAACAGTCTCAACTCCCCCGGAGTAGGGGCGGCGGGGGGCTTGGCAGAGACTCCTCAAAGCATGGTGTATTAAGCTGGTCACTTATTGCTGTCGATTGCGTTTTCCTCAACCCAAAACGCCAATCCACATGATTGCATGTCGTTTCTGCCACCGACCTGGCTTCCTTGCCATGTGGGGTTTCTTCGGACGCAAGAAGGCACGGTGAAACCTGCCAGAGCTGCGGGTACCTAGAGGTTGTACCTGGGCCTGGAGGTCTGCTGGGCGAAGGTCCTGTTCCTCCCTAGCTTTCGCAAGGCAGAAGGGCAGGAGTTTGCCCCAGCCCCCTGTTACACATTGAAACACTGGGTTCAGTTGCCAGTTCTGCCCGCCTCCCAGCCCCGCCCCGTTTCGACTTGTTCCCACAGAGCCTGGGAGGCTACGGTGACGGCTGAAGTGATTGGGTTCCATGCAGTCAACACAGCCACTGTGGACATGCGGAGGAGCAGCAGCTGAGCGGGGGCGGTGGGGGGGGGGGGTGCATTGTTGCATCATCCCTCTCCTTTCCCACTCCTGCACGTCTAACACCGAGAAATAACAATCATAAAGAAGGCAGAGCATACGCCTCCTGCCCCAAGAATCCCCTTGAGATCACTCATCCCCATAAATGGCCCAAATCGTGGTCTCTCTCTCTCTCTTCTGCCAGAAACTCCACTGGAAGTTTTAGAACCCGGCTGGATGCCACCCTAAATGGTCCTTGTCCCAAGGAGGCTGTGGGCTCCGGGACGTCAGTTCAACTATGCCCACACAGTGACATAGTGAGGCTTTTTCATTCCTCACCTCTCTGGGCTCCGGTTTCCCTCCAAGCCTGTCCGTATTTACCAAGCACAGAAGGGAGAATGTCCTCGGCCTTCCGCAAGCTTTCTATTTAGCTCCCGGGTTGGAGAAAACCAGCAGTGAGGGAATTACCTTCAAGGTTTGTCACTCAGCTCCGAGCAACTGCTAAAAGCTTTTTTGGTTTCTCTCCTCTTGAACAGCAGGCTTCTGACAAAGCCAAGGCCAGATCATTAGCCCAGACCTAGAACTGGCAGGTGCCTTCAGAAGGGTAAATACATCCTGGCATACTCGTGATGGAACAGTACACGGCCGTAAGCATGATGGAACCATGGCTACCCGCAGCTACACAGACAGATCTGCTGCTGTGCTGTGAAAGACGCCAGGCACAAAATATCTCCCCTGTCAAGATTCCACATATATGCCCTTGAGAGCTAGAGCCGGCTGATTTATCGTCTAGGAATCAGGACGCTGCTTGCAGTGTGGACCAGTGGCCAGCAGCAGCAAGGAAGGAGGGACCTGTGGAGTACTGCCCTGGTCCTGCTTCCCAATTAAGGATGCTAGGTAAACAATCAGGTTCCTTTTCTGAAATCTGGCTGAGCATAAGACTTAGAAGTATGGGACCCAGCACTGCAGCCTCATAGCTAACGTCCTCGCCTTGCACGTGCCTCCGGGATCCCATATAGTGCCCGTTCGTGTCCTGGAGGCCCTGTTTCCCCATCCAGCTCCCTGCCTGTGGCCTGGGAAAGCAGTCGAGGACAGCCCAGAGCCTTGGGACCCTGCACCCGTATGGGAGACCCGGAAGAGGCTCCTGGCTGTGGATCGGCTCATCTTGGGCTGTTGCAGCCACTGGGGAGTGAATCAGCTTACAGAAGATCTTCCTCTCTATCTCCCCTCTGTCTATAACAGACTTTCCAATAAAAAATATATATAAAAACCTAAAAAAAAAAAAAAGACTTAGGAGTAGAACGCCATGTGCTTTTCTCTGCAGTGAAAATGCTAAAGTGAGTTGTAACATCTGTGAGACTGCTTTGAGATGCCTGAGTAAAGCTGTCTCTCTCCACTCACTTATAACCCTTGTCTACTTGACTATGGCCTTTTGTTTTAACTTTTTGTTTCAACTCTTTATTTATAGGAATCATTGAGCCTTTGATTATCATGTGAATTTTAAAATGTGATCTCAAAACAGAGTAAAGCATTAAGTTGGAAAAAATTTAAACACAGATATATAGGAGTTCCTTTTTATCTTTGGGAAGGTTCCCCAGGATGCAGTAGGAGACGGGCAGCCAGCTGAGGCCCGGGCTCATCTTAGAGTCAGGGAGAGCATCCGGGCAGACTCCGGGCGCTTCTCCTGCAGGTACTTCTCCTCTCGCGTTGGAACCGTGTCCCAGTTCATCGAGCTCAGAGTCATGACCGACCGCTTCAAACCCCTCACAAACACAGCGTCTTCAGGGTCCTCAAACACGGTTCTGCAAGCAAAGCGATAACACGCGGAAAAAAGAATTCAACCACGAATGCAAAGTTCTTCCCCTGTGTTACTTGCACAAGGCCACTAACAGACCTCTTGTGTGCTCGGCTGACAAGTGACATTCAGGCTGAGCGACATGGCATTGGCTTGTCCTAAGGGAACGGCCCATTTCGGGATATTTGTAGGTCTCACACACTCACGGGTTCATGTTTGAAAACTGCATGAAGTTACAGCATCGAATCACATTGACATATCACGTGCTTGGTCATAAATGGGTCTTATGAATTGTGCTGTGTTTTATAAATGCACATGAAGATATTTTTCAACACTGAATCTAAAGAAATGACTCAGAAGTGCAGAGATAAAGAGCCATCAATATGCATGAGTTTGAATTGTCTTCACAGTTTTAATGACATATTTGCTTCTGAAAATGCAATCTAGAAAATGCCATAGTAACCTCGATGGCAGTTACATTCACTATACGTATTTAGGGGGAAAGTAAATGGGGAAGGTTAAACCTCTCATTTGCCATAGTTAATAATCACTCTTAACAAGTTTTCTTTAATTCATCAAATTGCCTTTTCATTGCTATGAGTTACAATAGTAAGAATTATAACACACATAAACACAGCCAAGTTTCTCAATCTATTGAAGAACTACTCACTTTTTTCTAAAGTCTATCTTAGGAAACCGGACAACACTAGGAAATTCTAATAAGAAAAGTCAAAGTTTAAGAAATCGACTTACTTGTCCACGTTATCAGCAAATGCAAAATCTAAAAAAAAAATAAAATGCAGTCTTAATGTTTCTGAAGTATCTAAAAAAGAATAGAAGAAAGCCACAAACGAAACATCTAGAGCCCAGCTGTTTTCAAAGAATCCTTTACGTAAATTGTTCAGTCCGTCCAAAGTGCCCCGTAACCAACCGGAAAGTGGAAATGCCACTGGTTATGGCGGCTTTTGCCAAGGTAGATCCTCTAATACAATTCAGATCCCAAAAGCGCTGAGAGCTTCATGAGCTTAGGCCCCAGCAAGGCCAGTGGAAACTGTTCTGATTAAGATCCCGAGGTTCCTAGGCGAAGACGGACCTGTTTTCTTCTGCTAGGCACACAGGTCTATAAATGGATGAACAAGCCAACGAAACCGAAACATCCCGGGCCGTTTCAACCCCTGGGATTCTTGGCATTCACTTCAAAGAACACACACATCCCAGATCACAAGATTCCCTTATCTTGCCCAGCTTTGGAGCTGTAAGCCTAAACTTCTCAGGGAATCTTCCAGAGACCGCCGTTGCCTTGTTTAGTTCTCTCCAGAAGGCCTGCTGCCAGGCTGGGGCTGCAGCTTACCGGCACCTGTTGCGCCGCTCAAGCCGGCTCTTGCCAAGGTGCCAGCGGCAGAGCGCAGCCGGCCGCCGCTGAGGGCACGCGGCCCTGCCTTGGGTGGGCTCACCCCTGCCTCCCTCCTTTCACAGGGCACCCTGGGGGAGGGAGCAGAGGGGTGTCCTTGCATTCCTCACTCCCAGCTACTTCATTTTCCTATTTTTATGGATTTGTTGAAATTTATTGAAAATGGCATATATTTAAGCTTTACAGCATATTTTGATATACATTGTAAAACTGTTAGCACACTAAGCCAATCAAGGCATCCAACACAGCAGTTACTAGCCCTTTCCCTCCCTCCCTCCCTCTTTTCCTTCTTTCTATACTTCTTTCCACGTGTGTGTGTTGGAACACATAGGATCTACCCTTTCAGCCAAGTTTAAGCACCCAACATTTTCAACTACCAACACTCCCATCTCATCAGATCTCCAGAATTCATCCATTTTCCATAAGAAAAACTTGGGGCTCTTTGGCCAACATCCCCCTTGCCCACACCCTGCATTTTACTCCTCTGCAATGAGTTTTTGTAATGCCTCAAAGATGTCACTTCTAGGTTAGGAGAGTTTTCATTAAACGGATTTGCCAGAATTCATTTCCCATTTCCGTGTGCATGGCCATTTGGATGATTTCTCTACTTTTGCTATAATAATTTTTTTTTAATGTTGCAAGGAGAAAGCTGCTCCCCGTGCACGTGGTCTCCGTCTGAGTGTGCGTATGCCGCCCTGGGAGAGGGATTTCAGAGTGAAGTGGGGTGTCACAAGGCAGGTGTCATGGTGCAGTGGGTCACACTGCTGCTGGGGGACGCCTGCCTCTCATGTCAGCAACTGCTGAGGTCCCCACCCAGGGAGGAGGATCTAGAACCCCTGGCCCCTGGTCTCACGTTGAACCTGCTCTGGCTCTTGTGGGCAGCGGGGGAGTGAGCTGAGTGAAGGATCTTTCTCTCTCTGCCTTTCAACTAAACAAAAAACGTCCCAAAGACACTCTGGGGGAAAAGTCTCAGCTTTGCCCTGGTTTGTCTCTTTCTTTCCTCTTCCTCTTGCTCATGCTTGAACAGTCACTGAGCTGCTTACAGAATTCTGGGCCGGCCTTGACCTTTTCCACAGCTCCCACAGCTGCAAGTGTGGCAAAGCACGGGGTTCGGTGTGAACTTACGGCTACCTGCTCTAAGCCATGGGCGGGTTCTCTCTCATTGCTTTAGGATTATTTTATCTTTCGTGTGGGATTTCTTACTGTGTACACTTTATGGCTTTGGATTTATTTTCCCTTGTGTAGTGAAGGTTTCATGTAATTTGTCGATTTTGGAAAATGTATAGTCATCCTACTTCAAAGATTACCTTCTGCTCAGTTTCCATCATTTTCCTCTGCATGAGTTGTACTAACTGCTGGCTGGGTCTTCTCTGTCTTACTATTTCTTTGTCTCAGTATCTACTTAGTATCTTTTATCTCTTTCTTTCTCTATATTACATTCCAGGTAATAACTTTGAAACAGTTTGATCCTTGTTTTCTCCTGCATTTCTGAAAAGACAAGTTGTTTCTTTTTAAACAAGCATCCCTTTGGCAAAGTTTCTTGGGAAAGAGGACTTTGTCTTTGCACGTTTCTTTATCCCCTGATGCATTCCTTCCTGGGATGGAGATGTGACCTGTGGTGGCATAGCAGCCACTTTGCAGTCATGAGGCACACTAAACGCCAACACAGAGAGCATCATGGAACTTTAACTCCAGACTCCCTATCTTTGTGCTTCTTAATGTGTGAGAGACGCAGTGTGTTTGTATTTCTGTTACCTGGAAGGAATTAAACTCACTGAATGGAACATCACGTAAACTATTTGAATTCTATTTGTATCTAATGACCTTGCAAGTGAGAACCAAAATATGAACGCTGCAAAGTGGCAGGCAATCTTGTTTATGTTTAATATTTTTCCTTATGTAGCCAAAACCTCGCAGTTGTGATTCAAGAAATGGAGTACAGTCATCACCTCCGATCGGCTGAATCTCTGACACTGTTCCGTTACCAAGGGAAGGACTTCCAAAGTTCATGGAAAATGACATAAAAAAGTCACGATTTCAGTGCAAAAATGAAAATTGATGCATAGTTTTTTCATAATGTTCATCTCCCAGGAGGTGTTTTGAAGACCCCTGGTATTAGCTCATCATTAGCACACGAGCTGAGTTAGACATGCGCCTGAATGAACATGAGAACTGCACAGCCACGTTAGGTTAACGTCATGAAAAGCTGGACAGCGGGACAGTTGAGAGTGGCTAGACACTGCGTGAGCGTGCAGGTGACTTGGGTATCAATACCGGATTATCACTGTCAGAATAAGCATACCTGAAGGTAGCCGCCGGGTTCTCTTCTGCTTGAAGGGTCGGTTAGGGTTCCACGAGGTATCGACTTTCCCTCTAAATGCTATTGATTGAATGACATGAGCCTTTCTGTGGTCAAAGATGGTAATCATGGACCTTCTTTCTTTTTCTGTGACATCTGATAGTTGCAAAAAAAAAAAAAAAAAAAGCCATGTTAGTCAGTAGCATTATCCGTCGTTAGGTCGAATGATTCAAAGTTGAATCGGATACTTGTGAAAGCTTGTCTAAACTGCTACAGGTGAGCTCTGGTTTGTAAAGCGGTGGCCAGTTCTTTCTGTGGCCATACAAGCACTCAGCACGCGCCCCGCATGCTACGAGGCAGACCTCAGTGCTGCAGTCCAAGGCGTCCCGTTTTCTCATGCGTCACTGTGACTGGCTGGAGTCATGCCTGCACCTGTCCTGTCCTCCAGAGGACCCAGAACCGCAACGTTCTTCTAAAGTGTTGTGGGCCAAGAATTAAAAGGAAGGTGAGCAGCAGATAAGACAGACATGAAAAGGAACTTGAGAGTGTAATGTGCCACAAAAATGTATTGAGGTTGGGGCCCAGTGTGGTACCCTAGCGGTTACAGTCCTAGCCTTGCATGCACCAATATCCCATATGGGTGTCGGTTCCAATCCCAACAGCCCTACTTTCCATCCAGCTCCCTGCCTGTGGCCTGGGAAAGCAGTCAAGGACAGCACAGAGCCTTGGGACCCTGCACCCGTATGGGAGACCTGGAAGAGCTCCTGGCTCCTGGCTTCGGATTGCTCAGCTCCAGCCAGTGTGGCCACTTGGGAGTGAATCAACAGATGGAAGATCTTCCTCTCTGTCTTTCCTCCTCTGTGTGTATATTACTTTCCACTAAAAATAAATAAATATCTTTAAAAAATGTGTTGAGGTGCCAGGAACCAGAGAACTGCCGAACAGCAGGTGTGACTCCATTTTGTTATTTCCTTACTATGTAATGGTCTTGGAATGCAAGATTCAGTTATCCTTCACCTAGTTTCCTTGTAACCTTTCACCTGTAATTGTTCACCCAAGATAACAGTTGTCATGGTGACCTCTGCCCTATCTGGCCCACATCCTGCTGTAAAACTCCTCCCTACCCCCCAGCCCTTACCCAGTGCTTAAATACTGCCTGAGAAAATAAAGTTTTCGGAGCTTGATCAGACTTCCTGTCTTGCTCCCATTCTTCGTGTCTCCTGTCCCCCCCAATCGTCGGTTCTTTCCCCAGGTCTCTGTTGAAGACCCCGCTGGCTGGGGCATTGAGGTTGAGAGTGTGGGACTGGCTGGATCTTGGTTTGTGAACCTCCAAAACTGGGAATCAAAATAAACCCCCTTCCTTCATAAGTAGCTTCTTTCAAGTATTTTCTTATAGTAACTGGAAGCTGCCTGATCCAGCCCAATTCTCTAACAAGCCAAGGCATGAGACAATAAACACATGATGTGGCATCTCAAAAGCTACCTGTTGGTGTCAAAAACAGGACCAGAAGGAGCACTTCAGAATCAACTAGGACAAATTCAGGGAGCACACATTTTACCAAATAAATAAATAAATAAATGGCCTCAGCTCTACACGTCCACAGGTTCTATGTTTGCATTCAATCAACTATGAATCAAATGTACTCAGAGGAAACACCATATGAGTTTTAAACATTGACAGACTTTCCCTTGTCATTATTCATTAGACAGTCTAACACAGTAGCTTTTCACGGGTAACAGGTGCTGAGTGCAGCTCCTGTGCAAATCTGGTACCCTTCTCACTGAAGAAATGGAGCTACTTGGGGCTTGGGGCAGAGGCTGGGAGTGCACACTTTCTGGAAGCAAACCCACTTGGATACTGATGGAAAAATGCAATTTACAAACTTTACAAACACCACCATCCTTTTCCCAAGATGGATTTTCAAAGATATTTTGTCGGATTCAATGACAGAGATTTAAAATCAGCTTCTGAGCTCTGTCTTTGTCCAAGAGGAGTGGGGCTTACGTTTTCGGTCCAGCAGTTCCACCCTTGGAAGATGGTATATGACGTACAAACGGTACAGGTTATATTGACACAGAGGGTTTTGGTATAGACCTGTAGGATGAAAGAACCCAAAACAAGCTGTCACATTTCAAAGTCAGTTGCATGTATCATTTAGCAAAATCCTAAATATTGGAGGATTCAGCAAAAATATAGGACTTGCGAAGCTCTGGTTTTTTTTTTTTCTTTTTTTTTTAAAGAGTTATTTTTATTGGAAAGGCAGATATACAGAGAGGAGAGACAGAGAGGAAGATCCTCTGTCCGATGATTCACTCCCCAAGTGAGCTCAACGGCCGATGCTATGCCGATCCGAAGCCAGGAGCCTCTTCCGGGTCTCCCACACGGGTGCAGGGTCCCAAAGCTTTGGGCCATCCGCAACTGCTTTCCCGGGGCCACAGGCAGGGAGCTGGAAGGGAAGTGGGACTGCCAGGATTAGAACCGGCGCCCATATGGGATCCCGGGGCGTGCAAGGCGTGGACCTTAACCGCTGCACCATCGTGCCGGCGCCTGAAGCTCTGTTTCTTAGCAAAGCAATAGCCTTAAGGTTCCCTTCCTAATTCAGTCCATACTTAGTTTCCCTAGCTGTTCAGCCCATCTGTTCCCCCAAATATTTGCTGAGTATTTACCGTCTAGTAGGAACCGTGCTAGGTGCTGGGTACATATCATTGGCCCAAGTCTACCACAAATGAGGCCAAGTTCAACATTTTCATAATAAACTAGTAAAGCAAGTGATACCTCCAGAGGGGGTCTTAAGGCTATTTTATTGTTTTTGTTTATTTCTATTTATTTATTCTGAAAGAGTTCCAGAGTGAGTGAGGGCTGGGGGAGAGAAACAGAGGGAGGAAGAGAGAGAGAGCAATCTCCTATCCACCACTTCATTCCCCAAGTAGCCACAACAGCTGGAGCTGAGCCTCGGCCAAAGCCAGAAGCCTAGAGCTGCTTCCAGGTCTCCCACACTTCCGGTAAAATCCTGGGACTCTTGTCTAGTCCCAAATGTCCCAAAGATGGGAAGAGACACAGAACACAGTTCAAGCAGGGCTACCTGGATGGCGCGCCTAACTCCTGGGCTGGGTCTGACCCAGCCTTGGCTTTTTGACCATTTTCTTGCTCGCTCTTTGCCTTTCAAATAAAATATATATATATATATATTTCAAATCAGCATGTAGGTACATTTTTTAAAGTCGTCAACTTGAGGTTGTAGGACTTTATTTTTGAAAAAGATTTGCTTTATTTTTGTTGGAAAGCAGTCTTTTTTTTCCCCCTACAGAGAGGGAAAGAGAGACATACAAAGGTCTTCCATCAGCTGGCTCATTCCCAAAATGGCCACACAACTGGAGCTAAGCTTATCCAAAGCCAGGAGCCAGGAACTTCTCCTTGGTCTCCCATGTGGGTGCAAGGTCGCAAGGATTTGATCCATCCTCTGCTGCTTTCCCAGTCCATAAACAGGGAGCGGGTGTGAAGTTGGAGCATCTGGGACATGAACCAATACCCATATGTGATGCCAGCATTGCAGGAGGAGGATTAGCCAATACAGCCACTGTACTGGCCCCAGATTTTTATTTTCAGTGAAAAGTCTATTTCCTACCCATACATAGATAGTATTAAGCAGTTATCTAGGTACGATGTGAAATGAAGCTTGTATGATTTCCGTTTGGGCACCTGCAGCAATTGGAACTTCGCTATCCTTTCTACAAAGTGCTTTTGAAAAACATGTTTATAATGAGGGAAACCACTAGATGGCAGTAGCAGAAAGTGCTGCAGCTACTGCACAGAAACGCAACGAATTCCCCACAAATGGGGCTCCAGCTGTAGCTCACTCCTAAGAGACAAAGAGATTTGATGAAGGCATGGAAATATTAAGCATTAAACACTCTGAAAAAAGCTGAATAAAGCCGGTAAAGAAAAGTACAGCCTAGGAATTGCTGGGGTTAAGCAGCAGGCTTAAACAACAACCACCACCAAACTGGTTAGAAATGGAAAAAGTCAATCATCGGGGTGGTTTTCTTCTGTAGGTAATAAAACATTCTGATGTGTGTTATATAAACACATTCCCCTCCTCTCACCCCGCCCCTGCTAACAGAATCATTCTATAGAGCCATTTAGGTTTCCCTGTGGAAAACATGGGCTTGGAAGGGACCTAGCGTGGCCATCGATGATGCCTTGGTGCATCATGAGCAAAAGTGGTAGGTAGGAAAGAGAAAGGCATGGAAAAAGATGCAGAGCCGGGAGCAACAAAGGAATTTAGGAAACAGACAATCCATGTGGAAAGAGGGAAACGGGGGTGGGAGAGGAGGACAAAGAGGCTACAAGGTTTCCAGATGGATTAAATGGCAAGCCTGCTTTGAATTTCAGCTCTGGAAAAGAGGAGGGATGTCAAGTGGTGAGACCTTTCAGCTGCAGGACAGGGACCAGAACGAATGGCCGTGAAGGCAGCAGTTACGGGCAGACTTCAGGAGATCCTCGGGGACCAGGCACTGTAGACTAAGCCAGAGAAAGTCAGGGGGAGGACACCGTTCAGGACACAAAAGCGAAGCACAACAGCTTTAATGAGGATTTCGGGAGATGAAAAAAAAAAAAGTCACAAATTGCATCGGTGCCCAATTTGGCCGTGTGGCTCCTGTCTTGGGGAATTGCGTGTGACAGCCCCAAACCTTGCGGCATAGGACAACAGTCGGAGGCGGGGTCCGCCCCCAGACATGTGACGCTCATGGAAAATGTCCCCACAGCTCTCCTGACATTTCCTGCTGGTACGCCCACCTCTTCACTGCTCGCTCTGACAGCACCGCTATTTCATTCCTCTTCACGTTTTTTTTTCCCCCTCCTGATCTGGAGCTAAGTAACAGCTTTAGGTATGTTTCCAAAGTCTGGCTTCAGCTGAATCAAACAGCACACTTGGCGTTGCATGGCTTCTGACAAGGTGTCTCCGTGCCACAATCTTTCTGTGCGTGTAGCAACTTGCGGTGTGCCCAGTGCTACAGCGAAATCCGACGGATGGGAAGCCAGAGCCCTCCGCTGTCAGCCTGGATGCTGCTTCGATTCACTTTACAGAAAAGTACAGTGAGTTCAGTCATTTGAAAGGCGTTTCATTTCTAGGATCCTGCGCGTTGTCCTAGTCTTTAAGATTTGAAAGGAAGTGATTTTCTTTGCAACTCTCCTTTTCTTTCCCCTTCCATACGATTAAACATCTGAACAGTCTGGACTCCGCAGTTTTGGGTTGAAGTTGGTACGAATGACCAAGTGTTTCAGAGAAACAAGATTCGTTTCCTGTGTCTGAATGTTCCCAAAGCCTGTGGTGCTGGTGCGTGGCCATGCACATTCCTCCAGGAATCACAAAGCAAAATCACGCACACTTTCACTTTCAGCAGGGTAATACCATTTAATCCACCCGCCCTCCAGGCTACTTAGCACACCTCCGTGGCGCCAGCGCTGTCTTGCTTATCTTAAACTGGGGTTCTGTGAGAAATTTACATTTACATTAACCATCTATCAAAATGTCTGTAGGATCTTACCACACGTGCTGAGTTCCTAAGTTCCATGTGTGAAGCTGCTCTGCATTGAAACAGACAAGAGGAAGGGGGAAAAACCCCCAGATAATCATCACTACAATTGGCTCCCCCGCTTTTTAAAAACTCTAAAGCAGAATTAAAAACTATTTCAAAGAAAGCTGAGATTCTGAAGGCTATCTTTGAGGAAAGCAGGTGGACACCTAAGGGACACATCTGCATTTGCAAGCTGGGGCCAGGGCAGAGGTTACAGCCTGCATTAGCAGCTTGTGGATGGCAGTGGTCAGGCCCAGGCGTTTGAAGGGTGCAGCTCACCTAGGGGTCAGCCACTCCGTTGTTACTTATTATCATCTCCCCTACATATTTGCTGGATGTTTGTCTTTAACAAGTGGCCCTACCTGGAGTGTCCCCAAACGGACACACTTGGAGATCCCAGCCGCCTCTCCATTTGCTGGGGCGGGGGGGGGAGAGGGAGATGGTGGGGGGTGAGCAGAGCAGGGTTGCCACCCAAGGTGTTGGGGAGCCAGCACCCCGGGGGTGCGCCAGGAGCCTCTGGTGAGTGCAGGCAAGGATGTATCTTTCCCAAGGGCGGAGCTGTAGAAAACAGACCTGGAGCACGGAAGCCAGGAGGCAAGGATGTGGGGCTCTGCTTGGATGGGGCTCCGGGAAGCGCGCGGAGGAAGGGAGGGAGGGCGTGCACAGGTAGACCGCCTGGGGAGAAGGGGTGAGCCCCGACTCCGCCCGCCCGGAAGCCAGGCATTCCAGGCAGGGGGACCTCACACTGCAGCTGGCGCGGGGCACTCCTGCCTCGGGCACTCCTGCGTCGCCCGCCTGGCTGGGGCCTGGCAGTTCTTCTCCTGAACGCCAGTGGGAGCGCAAACTCTGGCCCTACAGGCTCTTCTTCCTCAGAAGTAACTGAAGAAGAATCCTACCTGCCTAGAGAGTTTAAAGCCTGCTTCCGAATTTGAAAAGACCACGCAGTGCAACCTGTGTGAATCACATGGATTGCTCTGTCAGTGAATGAGTTGAACTGCTGCTCTGTGATGGCCCAGAACCTGCCCAAGGGAACGTTGATTACTCTAGAAAATACACATATTTTCTCCAAAGAATAATCGTTAACCAAAATGGGACATAGGTGCAAAATGTGAATATCTGCTACCAAGAATTTTCTAAGAAGAGATTTTATGGAAAGTTGGTTATAAGGGAGGAGACAGTCACACATAACATTTTCTTTGCTTGGAAAAAAGGAAAAAAAGGAGCCAGCACTGTGGTGTAGTGGGGTTAACGCAAACATCCTGTATGGGCACGAGTTCGAATCCTGGGTGCTCCCCTTTTATCCAGCTCCCTGCTGGTGGCCTTGGAAAGGCAGCAGAGGATGGCTCCCTCATGTTTGGGCCCCTGCACCCATGGGTGAGGCCCTGAGAAAGGGCCTGGTTTCTGACTGCAGCCCAGCTCTATCCTGGCTGTTGTGGCCTTCGGCGAGAGTGAAATAGTGGATGGAAGATATCTCTTCCTCTGTGTCTCTCCTCCTCTCTCTGTGATACAATAAGTCAACTTAAAAAAAAATTGTATTTACTTGAAAGGTAGAGTTAGGAACCTTGCACAATGACTCAACTGAGGAATCCGCCCCCTTGCAGGTACTGTCATCCCGTATGGGTGCAAATTCGTGTCCTGGCTGCTCCATTTGCAATCAGTGGAGGATAGCTGAAGCCAGGAGCTAGGAACTTCTTCCTGGTTTCCCACAGGGGTGCAAGGGCCCAACCACTTGGGCTATCCTCCACTGCTGTCCCAATCGCATTAGCAGAGACCTGGATGAGAAGTGGTGGGGTAACTGGGACTTGAGCTGGTGCCCATAAGGAATGCTGGCAATGCAGCTGTCATGTGAATTTACCATGCCAAAGTACTAGCCCTTAAATAAATCTTACAAAGAAAATCTGAGACAACTTTCTCAGTTGGGTCAATTACGAGAAGTATATAACTTGAGTTATTTGCATGCTTTTTCTTAAGCTTTATTTTTTATTGCAAAATCAAATATACAGAGAGGAGGAGAGATAGAGAGGAAGATCCTCCGTCTGATGGTTCATTCCCCAAGTGGCCATAATGGCCAGAACTGAGCCAATCTGAAGCCAGGAGCTAGGAGCCTCCTTCAGGGCCCCAAGGCTTTGGGCCATCCTTGACTGTCCTCCCACGTCACAAGCAGGGAGCTGGATGGGAAGTGGTGCCACTGGGACTAGAACCGGTGCCACACGGGATCCTGGCGGTGTGTGCAAGGTAAGGAACCCAGCCCCTAGACCACCGCACCGGGCCCCATATTGATACAATTTTTAGTAGAAGTCCCTTGATCCAGGGTGATGATAACGATACAGATGTTACAGAACTGTACAGAACTGGGATGTTCTCCCTGAGCATCCCTCGGCTGCCACAGTTCTGGGCTCACATGCACCCTGGACCAGGAAGGCACAAGTGGCCAGGCGCATTGGCTCAGCGTATAATCCCGTTTACTATGAGTGGGCCACCTTGCTTACAGTTCCCCAAATGTTGTTAGTTCGCATCACTTGGCTTAAATTATTAAGTTTTTACATGTAACAAATTGCCCAGTTTTGCCTCAAGCCCCTTCAAAGCAAATATTTAAGCTGCGAGTTAAGACAGTTGTAAACTCCATAAAGGTCTAGTTGGGGTGTTTCTTGTTCATTTATGTCCTGTTATTTCATTGGGTGTCACACAGTGAAGACATTTCTTGAATGGGGGAATAAATGCTAAAACAGCAACTGAATGAATGATCAGTGATACAAGGCAGGGGTTTGAATCTGGTGAAATCTAAGCCTGCGTTCCCACATCGAACCGGGAATAATTCTATACATGTTTTAGGATCGTTGGCTTTAAATGTCAATGTGATAAGAAATCATTTTCTTAAACATGTTCCTACAATGATCATCATTTAAACGTCAGGCCTGTTTCCTTGAGTTTGTCCACTCCTGAACAGGACTTCCTGAGTTTATACATCTTAATTCATCACCTGATTTACATACTTCACAACCAAACGCATTTTTGGTTTTTTTTGCTTCCAATGAACATGAGTGGTGAGACATTTTTTCTCAGTGTTTTGCATAGTTATCTGAAAAGATCCTGCTGTTAGCCTATTTTAGAGAAACACGCACAGGGAGGAGTTCTGGATCCAGCTTAGGGACTCTTCTCATCCCGCAAACCTGTGCATAGGAAGGGCAAGTCACTGGCCCATCCCGGGTCTGTCACACACAGACCAGGAAGCTGTGAAAAGCGACCAACAGGAGGCAACACTATGCGTCTCCTAATTAACTAGGGGGTGGCCATGAACTTGCCATGACTGCGATTTCAATATCCGGCTTGAAAGACTCCGCCTCTTGGTACGGTAGATGTGAGTGAGCAGGTGGAACTTTGCTCTCTCTGCTGAGCTCATCATAACCTCTACCGGCAGCACAGCTCTGCACGTCTCTGAAACACCGTCTCAGACAATGCTGGAACATGAACTGGAAAGAGGAAAATTCGTTTTATGATATTATGTGGAGAGATCCGGGCTCTCAGACTCCTTCCTCCTGCTGGATTCGAGTTCTTTGTCTCATCTTGTGGCTGAACCCATGTCCATTTGCCCAAGGACCAAGCTCACAGCTGAGCCCCCCTGTAATTTGTAACCATCTCATCCCTCTTTCCAACACCAAGGTCATGGTCTTGCTGGGTGTGATTCAAAATGTATGAAGCTGCTCCACTAATTACAGCCTTAAGGTCATTTTTTTTTTCTTTACTTTTTCAATACACTTAATGTACTACACAGCTCATCCATTTCAATTGTACAATTCAGGCATCTTTAAGCTATTTTCAGCCCTGTGCAGCTCACCAGCATTTGGCTATTGGGGAGTGAATCAACGGATCAAAGATTTCTCTCCATGTCTCAACTTCTCTACAACTATTTCAAGCAAAATAAATACATTTCTTAAAAAAAAAAAACCTCCAGATTTGAATATGCAGATCCTCTTTTGTTTTGTCATTTTTGACCCCAGAACGCCCTAGGATGCCACAAAGAACGTTTTCTACATCTTTCTTTAAAAACAAGTCTTATTACAAAAATAAGAGCTTATTCTCAGAAACATCTAGGTGTTTCAGTTCTAGTCATTGTCTTCTGACTTTGCAGTTTGAAATATAAAAAGCATACAATTGCTGTGGTAACTTAGGATCCCATAAAAGTGCAACTCGTTACTTAGGATCTTCAGGTGGATCATCCCCTTGAGCTCCTTCACGGTGGCCTCAAGCTTGGTTAATTCATTGTGTTGAAGCAAGAGAACTTGCAATGAGGGCAAGTGGTGCAAACCTGCAGGAAACAAACGATGCCTTCTGAGACACTTTTCCGTCTTAGATTTGCTTTTGAAATTGAGAGATGAAAATCACCGTGATAAATGCCAATCAGACAAGCTAACGTAGCACAAGAAAATAATATCTACTCATAATCTTATGAATTATCATTAAGAATAAAACAAAGCCAAGGAACCCAACCATTGGTTGTGATTTGGAAATATGATGTCAATGAATTTGATTTTTCTCCTTTGTTTTGATCTTTTTCTACAGAAATGATTTTATCTGTTTGGTTAAGGATTTGAAGGGACTATTTTCTTTCTTATCTTTTGTGGGGAGGAACTGTTGCTTATATTTTATGAAGTCAGTCAATGTAATAATTCAACCATTCCTCCAAAGCACTAAGTTAAATATTTTCTTTATATAATGAGTTAAATATTCAAATAATTTTTGTTGATTCTGAAATGCATGTGTTTTTTTCACACTTTTACCTTGAATGAAAGTGGGGTGTCTCTGTGTTAACCACATCATAATTTCACCGGCAAGATTTTGCTTCTTAGTGTTAAAATCTTGCATTTTGACTCTGTGGTGCGTGGCGTCAGAGAAGTGTTCTGCATTACACTTGTTTGTATTTCATGATCATATTACATAGTTTGATATCTGGCTTCTAATTTCTGGTTTAGAGATTGTTGAGCATATGAAATTAACTCAGATTGGAAACAGGAATTTGGTTGGTAAAAAGAAGAGCCAGTGAAGACTCTCAAGTTCTTGGGCTTGCTAATGTTCCCAAAGATCGCTAAAATTCGCTCTCACAATGTATAATTTGTGTCCAACTGTGAAGTAGCCTGGAAAATTTCTGATGTTAAAAAAGATTCTTTTACGTTTTGAAGACAATGAAAAGCACATTCCTTAAGATCAAATGCAGGTGGGCCTGGCGGCGTGGCCTAGCAGCTAAAGTCCTCACCTTGAATATGCCAGGATCCCATATGGACGCTGGTTCTAATCCCGGCAGCTCCACTTCCCATCCAGCTCCCTGCTTGTGGCCTGGGAAAGCAGTCGAAGACAGCCCAAAGCTTTGGGATCCTGCACCCTCGTGGGAGACCTGGAGGAAGTTTCTGGCTCCTGACTTTGGATCAGCATAGCATCGGCCGTTGCACTCACTTGGGGAGTGAATCATTGGACAGAAGATCTTCCTCTCTGTCTCTTCTCTTCTCTGTATATCTGACTTTCCAAAAAATAAATAAATCTTAAAAAAAAAAAAACTTTTTTAACACCTACCTTCTATCTCAAAGATGGCATTGTTGTTCAGATATAGCTCTGTCAGACAATAGTTTCTAGTGAGAAACGCTATCCCGTGGAGCTGAAAATGAGAGAAAACGGTACAGTTTTGTCAGCAATTCTGTATAGCTCTGGAATTGCAGCAAGCCCACAGACGATTCCCTTTGGGCCTGTGTCGTGAGTTATCCCCGGGTTGCTCTCCCTCCTCCTTCAGGAAGGCTGTGTGATAAGAAAGTTGCTCTCCGCTACAGGATAGCTCTCTGAATTCGTCTCAACCGCCCTCACCCAGCTTTCAGTCTTTCTCCTCTGGCTGGGACCTTTCGCTGCGGAAGTACTTTTTCTAGTTGTGTCCTGCAGACTCATTGGTCTGGCCGCACATCACCATCTGACTCCTGTGTGTGGCACATCTCCACTACTCCCCTATCTGACATTACCGTGAGCCCAGGACTCTCTCCTTGGGTCAAGGCCGTCTGCTTCACTGTGAGCTAGGTTTTTCCTTTGCCTTTCATGTATTTGGACAGTGAGGGTGAAACAGAGGAGAGATGGCATATATCCTACTTGGAGCAGGCAAGTTAATTTAAGCGAAATTTTTACTACATAATATGAGATCTAGAGGGGAGAGACTGGTTTTCAGTTCAGTGCTTAGTTCTTTATAGATACAGCAATAAATGCTCATGGTTGAAAATTCATCTTGTTAGAGTTACCTAAAGCAGGAACTCCCAATATGATCGTGCAGTAAATAGAACTGTTTGGCCATTGATGAATAGATTCAGATAAGTAGAGGCCAGCCCACTTGACAGTGAAGGTTTATTGAGATGTTTGCTCACATCTTAGAAAAGCCATTTTAGTGGTATATGCAGAGTTTGAAAACCATTTTCTTTGTTGATTATATATATGAATCTCTCTCTATATATAGATAGATATATAGATATATAGATACACACTCCCCTAAACTAGCAACAGAAAGGCATGTATACTGAGTGTCATGTCATGGAGATTCATGTCTAACAAATCACGCCTGTGCTCACGTGGGAGCTAACTTTATCCCGGCTGCAAGGGGCGTTGCGTAGCAAGAGGGGCGTTGCCCTCTGGTAGGAGAAGCCAGGTAAGGCAGGAAGTCAGGGTCCCCATCGGCTTCCCAACCCTTCCTGTCCTTCTAGTCCCCAGAAATCATTCATTGCCTTCTGCTCTTCCTCCCACCTGTCCCAGCACTCTTGACCTTAGGAGTGGAACTAGTGGAGACCCTGGCTTTCCCTTCCCAGTCACCTGCCAACCACCCAGCAGTAATAGAACATTGCTGGTCAGTTGAGGCTGATTTGTCTGCATCACTGATTAGCAGAAGGATGCTATTGAATGCCCCAAGGTTCATCTGGGTTATAGAATCATAGTTCTCCCAAGAGCATTACCATCATGGACCACAGCTGTGACAAGTGTGAAGCTGTTAAACTTGTACTGCTTGCAGAGGTGAGGGGATAAGGAGCAGCGGAGGCGAAGGAGACAAAGCCAGCTTGTAAGACCCTTAGAGAACTACTGCAATAATCCAGGCAGAGGAGGGTTGCTGGGCAGAGGCAGGAAAAAAAATCAAGGATTCTAAGGTGACAGCAGGAGATGAGGAAGGACAAGGTCTGCGGAACAGGGGCCGTGGGAGGAGAGAGCTCTGGAAGGACGGGGATTCAGAGCTCAGCAGATTTGATGGTGCAGTACATGGCTAAAGTCAGAAACAGAAATTAGAAGACCCGCTCATTGTGCTGATATTCAAGCCATCATTAGAGCAAACAATTATTGGTCTATTTAGAAAAATCAACATGATTGATACTAATAAAGGGTGCCATAATATTTATAGCAAATGTGACATTTCACGGTTGTATAGCTTAGCCCAAAGCTATGTAGCAAGTGCTCAAGAAATGCTGTTATTATTTACTGAACTGCTTCTGTTATTTTTGCAAGGTCAGGAATGTTTGCTTTCAAGCCACTGAGTTCCTCCTAAAGGAACTTGGTACTGGCCAAGTGGGGGACCCTGACGAGGTTCCTGGCTGCTGATTCTGGCCTGGCTCGCTACTGGCTGTTGCTGCCATGTGAGGAGTGAGGTAGACGATCTCCTTTCTCTCTCTGTCACTCTGCATTTCAGAGAAATAAAATGATCCTTATTTTGCAAGAGCCAGGATCCCATATGGGCGCTGGTTCATGTCTCAGCTGCTCCACATGTGGCCTGCTTATGGCCTGGGAAAGCAGTAGAAGATGGCCCAAAGCCTTGGGATCCTGCATCCATATTGGAAACCTGGAAGAAGCTCTTGGCTTCAGATTGGCTCAGCTCCAGCCAGTGTGGCCAGTGGGAGAGTGAACTGGTGGGTGGATCTTTCCCTCTATCTCGCTTTCTCTCTGTAAATCTCATCTACCTTTCCAATAAAAATAAATAAATCTTTCTTTCAAAAAAAAAATGAAAAGAAGTTTTCAGCTTCCTTAAAATCCGAAATATTCATACTCATGTCTGGTATACTCCCAAACCCAAAATCAGTGTATATTACATCACAATAGGGCTCCCTAATTTGGGGGGACATTTCTATATAAACCATCCAGAAGACATTAATTTGCTAATATTTGGAAGTAAATCAGTTCATTAGCTTGAGTAATGGAAAATACTCTCATTTCTTTTATGCTCTGTTATTGCTTAAAAGTAATAATCCCAAAACATGTCTAAATGCATCCAAAAGTGCTTGCTTTGAAATATGAAGAAAGAAAAGAGAAATATAGTAAACCCTGAAGTCTTCCAAAGTACAATAATAAATAGAATTAAAGTTTGGTACAAGCCAAGCAAGTGTTTGTGTGCCTATGTGTATTTATTCAACTTATTTAACCTTCACTCCACAGTAGGACACTTGCTACTGTCTTGTGTTAAGAGGATGAAATGGAAGTACAGGAAGTTTAGGCAACTTGCTTATAATTATACAACTACTCCAAAATTATTCCAAAAAGTTTGGGGGAAAATTGAATTAAAAGATACATTTAGAGTCCGGCACAGTAGCCTAGTGTCTAAAGTCTTGCATGTTCTAGAATCCCACATGGGCACTGGTTTGTATCCTGGCTGCTCCAGTTCCCTGCCTGTGGCCTGGGAAAGCAGTCGAGGACGGCCTTTGGAACCCTGCACCCGGAAGAAGCCCCTGGCTGCTGGCTTCGGATCAGCTTAGTTCTGGCCATTGCAGCTGCTTGGGAATTGTATCAATGGATGGAAGATCTTTCTGTCTCTTCTTCTCTCTGTGTATCTGGCTTTCCAATAAAAATAAATAGATCTTTAAGAAAAAAGAGATAAGTTTATTTTAGTGCAAAAGAAAAAATAAAATCCATGTCTAAAAGTATCTTTAAAGTTTATGGAAAATGTGTATAATGAAAAAAAATTGTGCATAGATTTCAAATACTTTGGTGAATAAATTTTTTTTTGTATTCCGATTTTCACAAACTGTTGGACAGACTCATGTGCGAAGCTCATCAAAAAGAGCCCTTTGAACTTAAAAATACTGAGGTAGACAGTAAGAGAGCTGAAAGAGAAAATTGAGGATATCCCTAGAAAGTAGAGATAAATAATAAAGAATATAAAATAGAACCCAGGAGAAACAGCAGACAATTGGACTTAGACATAGTAGTCTGACATACACACAGTGCAAGTGCCAGAAAGAGAGAACAATGAATATGGAGCTCAAAAATAGCTCAAAAAAGTGCCCTGACGCTGAAAGACATTCTCAGCTGAAATGTCCCCAATCTCAGTGCAATGGATTCAAACAGATCCGCACACACGCGCGCGCATCTGGACAAAGTGTCAGATCATGAAGGTCCAAGGATTCATTGGTCTTCAGACAGGACATGCACACACACACGTGCACTCAAGCATGCCACGCGTGAGGAACAGGACTCAGTGTGGCTCCACCCTCCCTAACAGCCACACTGTGAGACGCCAATGCAAACAAGTCCATCAGTGCAGCAAGCCAAGATTCCATCCCTGTCCAACACCAGAATAATGACAACTGCAGGCAGCGACAAAGTAACGACCTTCATCCAGGAATCCACTGGAGAACCACATGGACGGGAGAAACTGGTTAGGTAGCTAGCTAGCTTAGGGGAAGTCACCCCTCCCCTCCCTACTTAATCATATCCACCTACTTATCAATCAAATAACCCCCTCCACAGGAAGTACTTCCCCCTACTTGGGCCCTGGACCAGTGGTCTGCAACCACACCCCTGTGGGCTCCATGAAAGCCCATAGGAGGAGGCGCTCGCTCTCTCTCTCTCCCTGCAGACAAGCGAACAGAAGGTAGCCTCTCTCCATGCTCCCCATCCCTCACCTTTTCCCTTCCTGGCCCACTCTATCCCTACATATGGCCCATGTGCATCTGGGAACTGTTTACACTAAGCCTAATCGCTTCATAAGCTACACTGGTATCTGCACTTAAAATACTTCTGAAGAGGTGAGAACCTAGGAAAGCAACATTAGGCCCAACCTGGCTTGCAACACAGGAACAAGAAACAACGCAAAGAGATCTCCCGGCTGGTGACTAGAGAGATTTCCAGTCATGTACTGGCATACACCCAGCAGGATAGACTGAGCTTCAAGAACAATAAAACTCATAAGAAACCCAATATATTTGCTCTACCTTGCAAAGAATTTGGTTCAATACATGACAATAACATTCAAATGTGTGTTAGTTTGATGAGACTGCTATAACAAATAACAAGAGATGGATTTGTTTAAGTAGCAGGAATCTTTTCCTTTAAAAGTGTGGAGGCTTGGGGGTCAGCAGAGTGGCATAACAGGTTAATCCTCTGCCTGTGGTGCCAGCGTCCCACAAGGGTACCTGTTCATGTCCTGGCTGGTCCACTTCGGATCCAGCTGCCTGCTTAAGACCTGGGAAAGGAGAAGATTGTCCAAAGCCTGAACCCTTGCCATCATGTGGATGAAGCTCCTGGCTCAGTTCTGACTGTGGTGGCCATTTGGGGAGTGAGCCAGCAGATGGAAGATCAACCTCTCTGTCTCTTGTTCTCTCTGTGTACAAAATTTGCCTCTCAAATAAAAATGAGATAAATCTTAAAAAT